AAGTATCTCTTCAGCTATGTTAAGAAAAATATGTGCCAGGGCACTGTTTCAGAATGTCGTAACTATTTAGTCTCGGGTGTTATTAGTCCTTGTATTGTTTCGAAATGAGTTCGTCAGAATGGAAGAAATCAAAACATTAATGATTTGGCGGTCGGTAGACCTTAAGTTAGGTTAATGTTTAGCTATAACTCTAGTAACTAATATTAATTGACAGTATTGTTTTGGGGTCAATATATATAATCCTTTTTTTATACTTCTAACTCAAATCTAACCCTCTGTTATACACAAATTCAAAATAATTTTAAAACAGCTTTATTTTCCACAAAAGAACAACATATAAAAAGTATAAAAAAGTAGTTCCCCTTTGGGAATTTATTTTTCAGGTCTATTATTCTCAATTGTTACTCAAGCCATCTATTGCCTTACACGTATATCCCGACAAACAAAAAACAATTTTCAGACGCCCTTTTTTGGTCGCACAGGGCGGTATCGGTATGAAACAAGTTACGGTGACGCCGGCGCCGCCCCAACTGGAATTGTGAAAAATCCGATGTCGTTGCGGATTTGCTATTGTCGAAGGAGAAAAAAAGCGACTGCTGTGGGCAGCGACATTTGTCAAGTTGATAGAAAAGGAAAAGTTTGTGGCTTTTGAAGGATACTTTAAATAAATGTGTAAAGAAACATTTTTTAGTGAAAATTTGATTTTTTTAGTTTTTTTTCTACAGTATGTCTCCAGATTGTCTTTTTTATTATTCTCTCCAGATAGAAACTTTTTTATTATTGACATTTTAGAAAAATGCATTCTTCATCAAAAATTTTTTCTTGTTCTAAAATGGTTATTCCCGTTTATACTTTTCCAAATTTCCACACCGTTTTAGAGAAAATTAAAAAAAAAATGATAAACAGGGTGTCCCAGAAATAAGTGTAAGTATTTTAAGGGATGCTAGATCTCGATAAAAGATCATTTAAAAACAATCTAAAATGTCAATAGTCCATGGGTATATTGATAAATAAGTTCTAAATTACAAGAAAATGCATTTTCTACGGAAACTTAAAGCGATAGGTAAAAAATGGTATAATATAATTTGATAGAGAATTAAATTGTGCATCTGATTCTCGTTAAATATACAGGGTGTTCCATTTAAATTAAACAAGTTATTGCCGTTTGAAGCTAATAATTATTTAAAATAAATTTTTAGACACTCTGTATAAGGTAGTATTATTTTTATTATTGCAACACAATAACTGATCAGTAAATAAACTTCAGTAAATATTTAGTATTAAAAACTTTGATACCCTTGGAGAAATGAAGCCTTAAAATTTTTACTGCAATTTCACAAAATAGAAAATATTTCAAAAACGGTAAGGTTTAAGTATAATAAACCTTAATCAAATTTACCTTTATTTTAATCGTAGAAACTAAAAATGTAATAATATACAGGGTGTTTCATTTAAAAAAATACAACTTTGATATTTTTACTTATTTGGGACACTCTGTATCTTGTAAAATTATTTTTAAATTGTACCTCTAATAGTCCTTCATCGAACCCAAAACTTACAATTTGTAAAAATCTCATCGTTTAGCTACAATACTCCGTGTCGTATGTGGTGAACAACCCTGTATATATATTTTCTTTTTATCGTTTTTCAAATAAGTCAAAAATAACGGAGATATTTTACTTTGAAAATTTCCAGAAAAAAAGATTTTTTGCTAACATTTTGAGAACCACTTGATCTTTTCTGGATTTTCTTTCTTATAAATTAAATCTACTACCTATGTTGTCATATTCAACGATATTTATGTTGCCATATTATGAGGTTATTATGTTTTTTATATTAAAAATTTAAAAAAATCCAAAAAATTCCAAATTTTGAAATTTTATTTTCGCGAAAAAAACTCATAGACGTGTTTTCTGGGGTCGAAATATACCCCTAAAAATATTTGCACTTATTTAAGACTCGCCCTGTATAACTTCAGTACTTTCGTTCTTTACAGTAAGGTTTTTCTATCAGTATTAGTTGTATGAGGTTTAAAGGAGAATTACCCACAAACTGAAACAAAATTATTTTAACATAGTAGGATCCAAGATTAATAATTGAGTTGTTATTTTTTGCCCATAAAAATTAATACTGTAGCGTTTTTAACTACAAAAATATTTATTTTAATAGATAAAGTTTCGCCATCAAATAATGCTTTGACGATGGATCTATAAAACCAGAGATGGGACGTTAAAGTGTTGTTTATGACAAATATGATGTGTAAATCGATTTGGATGCGTTGGATTTGGGGGATGTCGTAAAAATGGAACTTTTTTATATTTACAACGGCCATGAACTGTGATTTCTAAAATTATTTTAGCGTTATACGCAGATAACTTTCGGTTTACGTTATTCGTTTAGGGTTGTTAAGTTTTATGGTAAAATGTACAGGATATTCAATTCTTCCAGTCAACAAATACGTAATAAAATTGTTTTTAATAAAGCTGTTTTCCAAAAATCAGATTTTTACGTCAAGCGCTTTAAGCAAGAGCGTGATTAATCAATGACCAGATCTTTCGAAACACCCTGTATACATTTTTCAAAAATCTTAAAATATGTAAAAAATTAAATAAAATATACGTTTTTAAGCGTTTTTTCGGAAACTTGACCGTTTTTTAAATAACAAATATTGTAATACTTGAGGCGTGGTTTCATCCTCTTGGAACTGGAATTTCGAAAAATCCCTTCTTATCGAACCTCTACACCCTAGAATCAACCTGTATGCCAAAATTGAGCTTTTTACGTTGAGTGGTTTGAGCAGGATCATGATTAATCAGTATGTCAGTCACTTAAGGATTTTATACAGGGGGTCCAATAAATAAGTGCAAGTATTTGGTCAAAAGAAACATTTTTTCTCTTTACCATTTTTCAAATAAGTCCAAACCGAGTTATTTTACTTTGAAAATTTAAACAAAAAATGCTTTTTTGCTTATATTTTGAGCTGGATCTCTTCTGGATTTTCTTTCATGTATATTTAATTTACTACCTGTGTTGCCATATTGTCAAGAAATTATGTTTTTTAACTTAAAACTAAAAAAATTTCCAAAATTTTTTAAAAAAATTTCAAATTTTCAAAAATTTTTTTTCGCAAAAAAACCTTATAGGCGTGTTTCTGAGGCCGAAATATACTACAAGTGAAAATACTTGCACTTATTTCTGGGACACCCTGTATATTAGTATAGATTTCAGTCATATCGCTGGAAAAATTTCGCCGTTTGGGCAGTTTGGGTGTTCATAAAGACTCAAATTATAAATAACCCAATTTTTCGTATCGTTTATCGCATATCGCGTCTAATGTTTGGTTTAGTCAATATAAATCAATATTTAAATTTTTAATATCGAAAAAAAAATTAGTTTTAGTTGCCGTAGCTTTGTCGCAGCTGAGGGTTTGAGATGCAGCGCGAAATTTGTGTAGGTAATAATTCATAATTTTCTGGTTCTGGATAAATGATGAACTCTTGTTGACTGATTCTGGAATAGATATTTTCAAATAGACAACATATGGTGTTTAGTTTGTAAAATCGGTCGGTTAAAAGAAAACAATTGCTTAAATTTCGAAAAACGTTTAGAGAAAGAATTGACTTAAAAGATAAAAAATGCGTGAAACAAAACTTTCAGAAATGTGTATGTGTATATATGTATTTATATTTTTGTGACATTATTATTTAACTGTCTGTCTGTCAGTGTTTTGTTATTTATTAGAATGTCTTTAATATCCATTCCAACATAGAGATTGCCTCTTAAGTATGGTATTTGTAAAGTCAAAATTAAGCTTCTAAAAATTAAAATAAAAAATTCTAGGTGTCTATTTGAAAAAAATAAAGTTGATGATGGTCTCAGAAAAACGAAATGACTCTAAATATGTTTGACGTCTCCAAAGGATGAAGTAGTCCATTATTTGTAGATTTTTTCTAATCTTTAAAATAAATTCAAGTTCTCTAAGTTTGAGTCTCTCTCTATATTTTACTGTTTCCGAGATCCCAATAGAAAACTGTAATTTTAATCACCCGGTATACAATTTTAGCTAGAGTATAATTTACTTTTTCTCTGAAAATTTAATTTTTGATATTAAATTTAAAATATTTCACAAATAAAACACCACTTTGGTTTTTTATTTATGAAATATTTACAACAAGCAAATTTTGTCTATGTTTTAAGATGTTTTTTTACGATTTTTTCAGCCTGATGAGAAAAAGCAACACCAAAAAGTTAATGAAGACAGAATATTTGAAACATTTTGGCTATTGTCGAAATTAAACTGTAAATAAATAACTAGCAAAAGGCTTAGCAACGAAATTAGAGAAGCAGCCTGTAGGAAACTAAAATTGTAGGTACTAAAAAAGAAGAGAATAAGTTTAATTTCAAGTATATAACAAAGAAAAATCTATCAATAATACATATAATTGTATTTCTTCTAATCCCATCAATTTATTTTTTAAATATGATCATTTTTACCTCCAAATAATATTCAGCTAAAAAGAAATTTCAGAGCTATAGGCGTCATCTAGTGACGAACGTGTGAACTCCAGCAGAAAAATTCAATGCTCACTGTAAAACTAAGTTGAATTTTATTATTTAGTTCTGTTATTATTCCACAGATGTCACTCATTTTCACTAATTTTAAAATTTGTAATAAGACATTTAATTTAAATTCAATACAGTTTAATAATAATTGTTTTAGCATAAATCAAAGACCTCTTGACTATAAATTCTTTTAATACTGTATTTTCTTCTTATTTATATTAAAAAATTATGGAAATTTAGAATTAAAACAGTAAAATGCTTAATTATTTTTGTTATTGATACAATAACAGATAATATTAACTAAAACCTTAGAAATTATTTAACTTTATCAATACTTGTGTTATTCCATTTAATAATTCGTTATCCTGGAATGATATAATTATTTTTTTTTACTAGAAGTGGGAAAAAACCTATCGTGCCATAAATAAAACCACTTATTAATAAAATAAATAATTATATTATCATGCGATCACACTCAAGGCTAAACCATTTTAATAAAATATCTTTACGACATCGTTTCTCACTAATATATGTATAATAAAATAATCTTATCTCAAAATTTACTTCCTATACACTAAAAAATATCACTTTAAAGTCGAAGAAAGATCGTGTTGAGTTAAAAAAAAAATAAATTATTCAAAATTGACCATTTTCGTTATTGGGACACTGGGATTGGCAACTATTTCTTTCCAAAACGGATTGTCTTTGTCTATTTCTATTTTTCCAAGGAGTGTTTTCTTGCCGAGTAGATTTTTGGATAGTAGCCTGATAAGTATTTTTACTTGGTCCAGCATGAAGTTGTTCACGTTTGCTCTTAGAGTTGCAGTGTTGGCTTCAAGCTTCAGACTAATCGTTGGGTCAAATTTGTCACTCTTCTTCTTTTGTATCACTTCGTCGCTTTCAAATGCGCTTATCTTTATGTATAGCTGACCTACAAAGGAACAAAAAGAATTCTTTAATTTATCTATTGTCCAATAATGAATCAGTCAGTGGCCTTTATATAGAAATATTTAAATCTGTTACAAAAATAAATTGGTATTCAAATAGAGATGAGCAGCTAAGAGCCATGGTTTCTATCTGGCGACTTTTGCTCAAGAGATTTTTTCAATAAAAACCATAGATTTATAAAAACAATAATACAGGGTGTCCCAATATTGCGTGGACATAGAACTACAATGTATTTTTTGAATCAAAATAAGTTTATTGACACAAAATTTACCTATATAAAAAGTGCTTCATTTGTCCGTTAGAAAGCATCAAACTTTAACAAAATAAACACATTTTTTTTAAGAACCGCTATTCCTATTTGAATGAGATTTGGGGTGCTTATGTTTTGTTAAGTGCTTTAACATTTGGCTTTTACAAAAATCAAGAAAAATCATGGGAAGGGTGGAAACTACACCCACCAATACATACATTTTAGTATAAATAATTCCCAAGTCCACCGACTAACGATTTTTTTTTGGAAAATGGTCTTTATTCTACACTCTCAAGACGCAAAACTGTAGTAAATACCTTAACGAGTTGGAAAATATTTTTACTAAAATTTATATAAGAGTGGGGGGTAGTTTTTATCCTTTCCATACATTTTCTTGATTTTTGTGAAAGTCAAATATTCCAAGTTCTATGTCAACGGAATAATGGGACACCCTGTATACAGTGCCTATCATCTTCAGCTAAATGACAAAAACATTAATAATAAATAAATGGAAGCCCGGATGTTCTAACTCTAACAAACATATCGATTGGTATAATTAAATTTTTTTATTGGAACACCGTGTATATTTGAAGTTTTTTTTTAAATATTTTTCTTCCATTTCAAATATACCCTGCTTTTTTTCTCAGGTAAGATTTCGACAGACGATGACAGAAGAAAAGCAGATGACGTCCCATACCAATCTATTTATTTTACTAAAAAAAGTTTCTAATAATTTTTAAGTTATCTATGGATGGGTTTAAATATAAATCCGTCATGCGTCGTGTTTTGTTGTTTTTAACCAGTTTTATTGGTTTATTTAAAAAATGACAGATCGTATTTCAATTTTATTGGTTTGACGGAACGATGAACGACAAACGGACTCCGATGCGTATGAACTCGCCTTTAGATTTTTGTCATTTTTGACGCTTGTCAAAGTCTTGCCAAATTATAGGTTATAATTTTGTGTCAACTTTGTTAAATTCCCTGCGTTTTGGAAGATGATGCATTTTGATTCGTATTATTACGTGTGTTTTGTGTCTTTTGAAGTCAATTGGAGGAAAAATCGAGTGAAAATTAACTGTAGACCCAGAGCACAGTTTATGGTTAATACTCGCTGCCCAGGCAGAAAGTCTTATACACCAATGAAGTTGCCATCGATAAAGTTTGTACACCATTTCGTCGTAGATAAGTGCATCTCGTATATGGTAGAAGGATCAAACTAAACACATACTAAAAACTGGAGTAGCTGTAAAATATCGACATCACACGATAGGTAAATAATGGATTTTAGTACTGCAGAAAAATAATGTCAAAAGGTACTGGTTTAAAAAAATTATGATTAAAGTTAATTAATCAACCTTTAAGGTATAAAATTTGGTAGGTGTTATTATTAATAAAATAGTTTGTTTTATTTACCTATGTTGTTTTATTTATTCCTGTGAAATATTACAAATTTGTATTTGTACATAAGTTATATTGATAAATATAATCATAAATGCGGGTAGTTTCATAAAGCTTGAAAGTAAATAATAGTTCTTTTTTATATTTTTTTGGTATGTAGTGTCTTGTTCTTGTTTGTTTTGTATTAACACATACCGTTTTTATTAAATAAAATAACTCGATTACATTTTTTCAGTTTTATTCACAATATTTTGAAGTAATCACTTGTCATCTTGTCAATCAAATTTTAAATATTTCCTGCTATGCGTTCCAGTTGTACCAACTTATTTCTTTATAAAATAAAATAAACTACTTTGAAATTAAAATGATAGACACATCTATCACTGTCAAGGATCTTCTCGTTGGACAGACTATATAGAGGTTGTCTGCATGCATGTTGAATTTTTTTGGCTTAAAAAATGCAACCTCCGCTTCACAAAATGCATAGTTTGACTTGGAGAGCACACTATAAATAAAAATATCCTATCTATCTATATAATCTATCTCTTTTGTATATGAAATATTATACAGGGTGAAAACGAACAGTATTTAATATTACCTCTACTGATGATAGTATGAAAATTTGGCGAAACACGTCAATTTTCATATCAAGGGGGACAATGTTTGAGACATTTGTTGTCTTGTTACTTTCAACCCCTTGACCCCCAGGGCACCTACCCCTAAAATTTAAAATAGCTACCCCTATTTCTTTTACCATTTTTGTGTTTCTTATAGAATTCTACATAAACTGCATTATTTTTTTGAGAATTTTATAAGGAACACAAAAATGGTAAAAGAAATAGGGGTTGCCATTTAAAATTTTAGAGGTAGGTGCCCTGGGGGTCAAAGGGTTGAAAGTAACATGACAGTTTTTTCTCTGGCAAAACATGGTAATTTATTTTGTTTTTCATTTGATTGAATTTTATATGATCGAATATAAATGCCATCAAAGTATGCGTAGAAATGCTAATTGATGATAATTTTGCGGGGGTCGACCTCTATTGTTATTGTAATTTATTAAAAATTATCATAAAAAACTCGATAAAATTCTTAAATATATGAAAATATAAAAACAATATGGAGTACTTAGGAGGTGTGCATTCAAAGTGTTCAAAACTGCAATAAAAATACAAATTCATTTTTGAAAAATTTTTCAATCAGATTTTAGCAAATAAATGATGTCAAGGAGTGCCACAAAAATTATCATTAACTGTCATTTCATTGGCGAATGTGACGTTTTTTTTTTCGATCGCATGGTATTTTGATATTTTGTTAAAAAGAAATAAAAAAACTGGAAAATATACCTATGTTCGTGAATTTTAAAACAAAAGACTTTGATTAAAACAGATATTCAGTTATGTGTAATTATGTTGTTCTTATTTTCAAAGAATATTGCAGAAATAAAGATTTGACATTTAGATATTACTACAGGTGGTTATCATGATACAAAGAAAAAAGAAAAGTGGATATATTTTCTTTTATAAAAAAAAAACAAAAACAGTGAATTTAAAAATTGTCCAGTTTTTTATTGGACTAAATAAAGAAAACTAAAATTCACCAAAGAAAAATCCAATGATATGAGTTTTTTTATTGAATATTATTAACACGTTTAAAATTCAATGTGAAATTAATAAATACCTTTGGTCCTTTCATGCTCTTGCATTGTATGTAGAGTACATCGAAATTTAGTGACACTTATTTCAACTACATCATTGGTACCGTCCTCGCTGACAGCATATTGTAGGGTTAATTCAACACAGCCATTTTTACCTTCCCTCTGCAAAAAATAATATTAAGTGTCATCAAATTTTATGCTAAAGAAATGTGAAAACATAATCATTAAAAATATTCTTGGTTCTAGGTTCTAGATTCAGTCTTTCCTAATAATAATCTTGTTACAGAAACATACAGGTCTTAATAAGTCTTAAATTTCGTTGCATAAATATTAGAAAAACCGTAGTTTAATAATATACAGGGTGCTCCAATAATAGAGAACATCGGGTGTATCTCGGGTATGTGAGAGTTTATGGAAAAAAAATATTTACAGTGTAATTTCTTTATCTATTCAAAAAGATTACAGTTGGGGGTTGGAACCTTTGGTGTTACACAGCAAAATAAAACACTAAATCACCACAATACACCAAAACACTTTTACTTTTAGTAAAGGCTGCTGCAAGTCTTGATCATCTGCTGATGACGCTAACACGGTTAGCGAAACGCGCGTCCAGTGTAAAAGTAAAAGTGTTTTTGTTGTATTGTGGTGATTTAGTGTTTTATTTTGCTATTCAAAAAGAGTGATAAAACATAAAAATAAAATGGCTACTATTCGTAAAGTATTTGGCATTTTTAAACTTTTAATGTGGCATTTTAATCAGTATTAGACTGCATAGTTTTTCCTTCATTTTACGCACCTCGTAGGCATCTCTTCAAGTTTCAGAGATCACAATGATGAGGCTTGAATTTGGCACACCCTGTATATTAATAAAATTATATCCTTTTTATTAATAGTATATCATGCCATCCAATGGAAAAAAACCGCGTCAAAGACTACTGAGAAATGACAATCGATGATAATTTTGGCCAGGTCAATCTCTATACATGATTTACTAAAAATTAACATATAACTTAACACTAACAGACAGTTTAAAAAAGGCTAGAACGTTTCTAGCCACAAATCTATTTTCAAAAATATTGTTTTCTCGAATTTTTTAAACTAAAATATACAAAAAAATATGTTTACTCAATATAAAACTAAATCACAACCTTCTTGAGGCCAACTAGCAGTATATAAGCACTATTACAAAAAGTACGGGCCAAGTAAATGACGTCTAGGGCTTGACCTCGCCAAAATTATCATCGATTGTCATTCCCCAGCCCTCTTAGACGCCGTTTTTTTTCGATCGTATGGTATTAATGGTTAATAATAGATATTAATGAAGAAAAATACACACATCATTTTAAGCAAGTCATTAATAATTTAGCTATTCTGTCTACTTAATGGGATGATCTGGACAACAACAATGCAATTTATCATTTTCAGTAAACGGATAATTTGAATATATGACGTGCGTCATTAAGGAACTGCGCGTATATTATGCAAATGCGAAATAAAATAGCATCAATTTGCCAAATTCGTCTTACGGGTTGCGTCTGGATCCCACTCGTAATCTCCTTCACGCTCCTCCACACATCTGGCGTGCCGATCGCGTCGTCTCGCAGGTTTTGAGTGAAGTTCTTGTATTCTAAGTTATAAGTCACCGCTCCTATGGTCCTACGATCTTTCATTGAATTCCTGAAAAAAATAAACCATAATAACACAAGTATACACGGTTTTGGACCTGAACAACTAAAAGCAATTTCTAACATAATTTTTGTAGCTGAATCCAAATCAGCAGTCCATTTTTTAAGATTGGTTCTAGTTTTCGAAATATTCAATAAATCCATTATTTTACTATTTTTGACCGTTAAACAATGTAAATCAGAAATTGACAGAGGTTGAACTGAGTCTTTTATACTGCTTGGGATCTGTTTCACGGATTAGGGTCCAACAGTAAATCGCTCATCATGTCTTCGTCCCAAAATCCTTCGTATCGCCTTTCGATTTTCGCTATATCTTGGTGTAGCCGCTCTCCTTGTTCGTCGCTCGTGTCGCCCAAGTTTTGTGGAAAAAAATCAAGATGTGAATGCAAAAAATGTATCTTGAGAGACATTCGAGCTCCAATCTTGTGGTAATTTTGCAATAAATTGTCGATTACTTGCTTGTAATCCGGTGATTTATGATTACCGAGAAAGTTGTGAACGACACTTTGAAACGATGCTCATGCTGCTGCCTCATCAAGCGTTAAACATTTTGTAAACGTTGCGTCAGCCATTAGTTTTCGAATATCAGGTCGACAAATATTCCTTCTTTGATTTTTGCGTATGACAGTTTTGGAAATAACTTGGTTAAGTACTGGAAAGCCTTCGCGATTGAGGCTTTGAATCGACTTTGCAACGTTCTCTCTGCATTTTCACACGTTCCGCAACACAATCACAATACAAATCCAAATGATGTTTAATGCAACGCCGTCAACTGACCGTGCCTCACCTACCCGGGCCGCTATAAGACCGCAGTGCTACTACCTGTGGCTACTACCATGCACGAACTCGAAAACTAGAGCCAATCTTGACAAACGGATTGAAGATCTGGGTTCAGGGCATCAAATAACGTTAAAAATCGTTCTCATATGCTCGGGTCCAAATTTGACCCGAATTTGTAAACTTGTGTTATTGAATCAGTTCATTTCAATCAAAAATTGCATAATATTCTAAGTAGACTACTTCTTGAAGTAATTAATAAAGAAAATCAATGACTCATAAATTAAAAATATCAATATTGTTGCTAACTATTGGTAACTAATAACTAACGGTATTTAACTAGGTATCTATTATAATTTACCTAAAACTGCTCCTTCTAAGAGTCCTGTTATTATTCTTCCTAATAAAATCTTCCGTTTTATCAGATAGAAATTTCTTTAAATAATTTGTATTTTTCTGGGGTTTCTCTTCAACAGTCTCTTCTAAAATGGCGTAGATCGTGAAAGAAACAAAAGTTCCTTTCAAAATGTCGTATGTCTTGGGGGAAACGTTGAGGTTGAAAGTGAACTCTTCGTTGATTGTTGGCCAACTGTCCTTTACAATTTTGGTTTCGAATTTTTCTTTTGAAGGGAATATCGTCACCTAGAAAAAAAATATAACATAAGAAAATGGAAACAATTTCATTTAAAATTGGTCATATATGAAAAACCATACAATTCTAGAGACTATATGACTTGATAATTTAATTTTAGAAATAAAGATTTACTGAAAATCCACGATATTAAGAATATCAAGCATTCTTTTTAAAAATCTTTTTACGAAAATAAACTTTATTAGAGATTAATAATATAATACTAATATTAGTTAGGGTTGGCGACATATTCTATAAAATCCTGTAATTTGGACTAATAATCAATTTATACAGGGTCGCTGTTATATGAGGAAACGGTCGATTATTAGGGAAAATATAGGAGGTACCGCAAAAAGTTAAATACAAAAGCTATGAGATTTTTAAATATCTACTAGCCAGTAATAAATTTAAGTATACGGGGTCGGTCATAAAGTCGTGGCACATCAAACTTTCATTTTTTTAAAATGGAATCCTCCTGTATATTATTGCATATTTCAATTCTTCTTTCAATTCTAAGGAAGAATAGAGATACATACAATGTACCTCAACCAACCGTTTTCGAGTTATTAACTTTTGAAAATATCACTTAAGCAATACGATTTAATTAATTTCGATGTGTTGATTGCGTAATGCCCCATCAATGACATTGATCTGTTTAGCTCTTGCCATTACGGTTGTATTATTGGGAAGAATTATAACGATTATACTAACGTATAAATCTACTTGATCAAGTTCAAGAACATAAGCCGAAATAGGAAAACCCGTATATAGATACACATCTAATTAACAAAAGAAGTATGAAGACGTCAATACTATTGTTATGTTTTGGTGATTCAAAATTGATCGGTACATGACAACTAATTGAACGCTTAAACATTATGTGTGCACGTTTTATTGAAGATAATGAAAAGCATATTAGTAATCTAAACTTTGACAACAAATAAATTATCACAATATTGATTAAAATTTATTCAATAATAATTTATTTATTGTTACTGTTATATACAGAATTAAACAATAATAAAGTTTAATTATTCACTCTAAAAAGATAGTAAAAACAAATTTCTTTAAATTTAAAGGATGCCTCCATGTTTCTCAAAGAAACTTGATTTTTAAATTAGAAAGAGTCTTTTTTTTGAGCATTTTTCTAGTATATAAAATGTTTCTAAAACATATAAAGAGTAGTAGATATTTAAGTAGAAAAAAAAATCTAAGTAAGTATTTATTTATCTTTTGTAAGTATTTATCTTTTTGTTATTTACTATTTCTTTGTTAATTTATCAAAGATCACCAGCTGTTCAAATTTGAAAATCAATAACAAAATAATTGACCCATTGAATAAGCCAACCTATCACCGAGTTATTTGAAAAAATGCAATGATAAAGTTATCTCAATAAAATTAATTTTAATGTATCTTTGTTTAGAGGAATGCAATATTGCAATCTCTTGACTTTTTGTTTTCTCCTGTTGACATTAATTTATAAATTTAGCAGAATATCTTTATTTCTAAAATATAGATAAAAATATGAATTATTATGAAGTTTAAACTATATTATTATGAAGACATCTCTAGATTATTTGAGGTGCTTTTTACATAACGATTTATATGATATTTTTATTCTTGTAAAGTTTTATTCATAGACACCAGGCTAAATAAATTATCCGTTCGAAAAAAAAAGCCATCGCGGTGAGCTTTGGAATGATAATCAATGATAATTTCTGCCAGGCCAACGCATACACGTTATTTATTAATAATTGGCATCATTTTCATCAGGAATGTATAAGAAATGGGAGTCAGAAACTATCAATTAACTTAGATCATTTTAGGGGTCACTATGCGACGTGGTTTTTTTTTTCGATCATATGATATGTTGTTATACAGGGTGAGTCTTAAATAAGTGCAAATATTTTTAGGGGTTTAGAAATTCGACTCCAGAGACACGATTATGAGGTTTTTTCGCGAAAAAATTTTTTTTACATTTTTTTTGGAAATTTGTTTGGTCTTTAGTTAATTAATTTCTTCATAATAATGGCAACATAGGTAGTGATTCAAAAATAACTCGGTTACTTTGGATTTATTTGAAAAAGGGTAAAGAGGAAATATGTTTCTTTAATGGAGATCTACCAGCCCTGAAAATATTTGTACTGATTTAAGGCTCACCCTGTATAAAACAACATTCATTCATTGTTCTTCATTAATTATTAGTTAGCTGTAATTAATTAACAAAAGTTAAAACTAAAAATGAAATACATATTTCAAAAATATATTACGGATATAACAAAACTAGGTACAGTTTATAAATTCTTATTTCAAAACATTTTTATACTGTGCAAATTCTGTAAATGCTAATCTAAAAATTACTCATATAAACTGTTTGCCAACATGTGTTTTATAATTTAAGTTCATAAATTTTAAAGGATAAGATAAGAATTTAATCCTTTAAAATGAAAATTAATTTTTTTATGAATTTTTTAAGGTAATTCTAATTTACTAAAAATAGTATAAGAATAGTATTGAACCTACTGAGTCTGTGGTTGGTTCACAATATGAATAGTATGCCACTTCAGTGATTACAGTTGAGGGTTGGAACCTTTGGTGTTACACAGCAAAATAAAAACACTAAATCACCACAATACACCAAAACACTTTTACTTTTACACTGGACGCGCGTTTCGCTAACCATGTTAGCATCATCAGCAGATGATTATAAACTAGATGATGACTATAAACTACTCAGTTTATAATCATCTGCTGATGATGCTAACATGGTTAGCGAAACGCGCGTCCAGTGTAAAAGTAAAAGTGTTTTGGTGTATTGTGGTGATTTAGTGTTTTTATTTTACTTCAGTGATTCTATTAGACTATATTACAACGAACCTATTTAAGAGACAAATATTTTTAAGAAACTGTAATTTCTAACTTTTATTACTACTCTGACATACATAACTCCCTACAACGCTACATCTGCAAGTAGTAAATTTTCAGTATTTCACTTGATTTCATCACATCGTAAAAATATAAAGCAAATTTTTGTGTTCGTTGCTTACATAAAAAATTAGGCGCTCTACTTAGAAAGCGAACGTATAAAAATTCTAAAAACCACTCTGTAAATAGGCACACATTTGTAGTCCATGGTGCAAAATCGTTTAGCACTTGTTAGTCGATACAGTACTCGTATTTGTCATTGTTCTGGGTTTAATGATACGTTTTAATTTATATTAACGCCGATGCATTTTGAACTTTCTTCTCTGTGACCCCAAAAGCCTGATTGTTTGGCTGAGTCAGCCGTAAAAATCAATTGGATTGTCCAGAACTGGGTAATTTTCTTTGTTGGTGTCGAAATAGTTAAAATCCCAAATATTTTAAGTTTAAAGAGAATACTAATCATCTACCAAATATGTAGGATAAGGGGAAATATCCAACGATGTCCATTTCATGGTAATTTTCAAGTAATCACCTTAATCTCTCTAATAATAGTTTTCGAGATAAAAAGTATAACATGTATAAAATTGACAAAAACATAAACTTAAATATACATTGGTAAATTCATGAATTATTGGGCATATTTAAAATTGAAATTTGGGTTATAGATTAAGGAAAGTCGATATATTCGATCCGTCGAAAACAATTGATTGAATATCAAATTGTTATATATTAATTTAATAATTAATATAAAATTGTTTAAGTCTTTGTTATTCAAGATTTTTCACAGTTTACATGAGCTCAATTTTAAGCTATATTTTTACAGCCGAGGATACCTTAATTGCCTTAAGCACAGAATATAATATTCTGTGCCTTAAGGGTCTATATTATATTATATTCTCTGGATGTCTAGATTAGATTATATATATATATTATATTGGTCGATCTTCGTTCACTTTGACATATATTTCTGATTATCACATACCTATTTTTGCACTCCAAGGCTAATAAGATGTAACATAACGAAGATATTATGTCACTGTCATATTTGCTTATCGATTTAGTTGATTGCTCTTGAACTGATATGAGCATCATATTCGCACACAAGATACCTAGTCAGCCTAACAAAAGTTATCTGTTTATTTTTGTTAATTTCAAAGGTAGAAGCAAATAATGGTATTTGAACAACTTTAAACAGGTTATTTTTATTTGTAATTGTCATGTTGTTATATAGAGAAAAATGTATGTGTTGACTTAAACAATATACCGGATGTTACAAATCCAACTCTCACATTTGAGATCTCGAAACCAGTGACAAATACAAGGTGGATAAAATTTTCGGTATTAGTTTTTGATTTCTTTCTTTTCAATTATTTTTAAAAGTTAAGAATCTTTTTCCGTGGTTCTTCAATCAATATCAACTTTATTTTTAACTGAACTCTAATGTGATTTCATCGAATTTTGTCACCGATTCTTTACTTCAATTTTAAATTATTACTAATATTTTCTTATATCTGCATTGTTAGTTTGACTATGATAAGTTACCGGAAAAAATAGAGCCAACAGAAATAAACCACAATGATTGAGGTTATCTCTAAAACATCCTTTATATAATCCAATTTAATAAAATTATATTAAACGATACAAAATGATAAATTTAATTAATTCCTTAAATCTTTCCATATGATTATTTTTATAATTATTGATTACCAAATTATATATTTTAAAATATATTTTTTCCACAAGTTTAATTTATGTACTTTAACCGTGTAGCATGTTTTTGTGTAATGATACTAAAATGCAACTAATGAACTATTTGATTATCCACTTGAAATTTAATTTAAAGACCTATAAAGTATTTCTAGAATTACAAAAACACATTAGGTAGAATAAAAAATTCTTGATAATATACTTATATCTTTATTATTATATCGTATATCTTTGTTCTTATCAATCATTAAATAAATATTTCTAATATTAATTTAAGAAAAATGTGTTCCAGTAATTTGTTATTTAAACTGTTTGTCATACAGTTGGCCAAAATTTTAGCTTTTCATTTTGAAAGAACCTGGATATGTTACACTACAATGTTTTTGCAACTATGTATTTTTAATTGAGAGCTACATACGCATATTTTGTAAAATAATTAAAGATCTCACTGAGGACCTGATTTGGAGCTTTAGGGAACCCTGGGTCACCCTCTAGTATACAGGGTTTTCATAGATACTTCGTAAGATTTTACCTGAACCGCCAGAAAATTAAATAGAAGTAAACAAAAGACGATTAAAAAGTCAAAAAAAATTGAGCGGCAATGCAAGACTTTGGCAAGACCAAGACCAAGACCAAGAGAGGCTCTAGACTCTGCGGTGATGAGATTCCTCTCTCGGAGGAGATCAAGTATCTAGGAACCACGCTGGATACCAAAGTGAGCTTGAACCATGACCAACATGACAGACAGGCCAGAGACATCGATTTGTGACGTCACCGCACTAGTCCGGCTTTTGTATTGTGCCATATGGGACTGCATATAGGTTTTGCATAAATAATAGTATTTATTGATAGTTTTGCCAGATATAAATATGAAAAATATTATACAGAAAGGTATTAAAAAATAACATTAACTTTTTATCGCGTTAAAGTAATTGAATAGCATTAAAATTTAGATCTAAAGCACGAATATTAATACGAAATAAACTACATCATAAGATGAACAAAATAAAATCTAGATAATAAAAAGCGTGTCCTAAAATTGCGTTAGCGAGTATTTAGCAACTAGTAATAATATACTAGATAAAAAGTTTCCAAATATTAAAAATTTGAAAACTATACGTTTGTCGACAAGTTAAGAAAATGTATTGTATATGATAACGGCAGAATACATTTTAAAGTTTAATTAAAAATAATTGTAAAAATTTGCCTAACATATTTAAAAAATGTGGATATCAGATAGAATTAACTTTTAACATTAAGTAATTTGTAGTTCGATGTTCATCAAGTAACCATCTCCATAAATCGTAAATAAAAAGATAAAGATATCATATTTTTATATAAAATACTGAAATAAATATATAAAATATATTGGCCATTTCATAATAATAATAATACTTTTCAATATTTATTTCATCCTGAATTTCCAAATCTTGTTTTCTTTCATCGGGACGTTTTCTCTTTATGGGAACATGCACAGAGGGTCCATAAGAGGGTTGATTTGGAAAAATTGTAGGCACAGCATGTTCTGTAGGTTTTGGACGTGACCTAGTTACAGTTAGTATTGTTGGGAAAGAGAATGTAGACAGATCCTGAGGACTTATTATAATTGCTGCTACAAGGCACAGGCACAAAACAATGTCGCGGAATTTTTTATTTCACAAAGTAAAAATAAAGAAACGAAAACTGTTTTACATAAAAATACACGTCACTTACGTTGGTTTAACACTATACACTAACACTAACGCTATTAATTATGTTTTTTATAAATTCCCCAACTTTTTCCTAGCCCGGACACACAGCCGGCATCGCCGGTGTATGGTTTTTTTCGCGGATACGATGTTATGAGTCGGATCTAGATAGTTCACTATTCACTCAAAATTATTTAGTATAATTTTATTAGCATAGAAACGCGTAAAAAACACAGATTTGTTGCGAAACTAATGAAAACAATTGGTTTGTTTACGACTACTAATTCTGGACCACTTCGGTAGAACTGTCAAAACAGTCAGACCTTGAATATGACGTTAGCCACGCTTGAACTGACATTTGGAAAATGTTACAAGGAGGTCGGTGGCTACACCAGCGGTAGTCAGACGATTTCATGGAAAAATCTAGGGCCTCAGATCACAGATGGTGCACTGTACACTGGGGTAGTGAGGCCTTCGGTAACATATGCATCCTTGGTATGGCGGCCTAAGGTAATGCAACAAACAACAATGCTGATTAAAAATTTACCAAAAGGAATATAAAAAATACTCTAAGTGGTTGGGACAGAAATATATTGTAGCAGGGGATGTCGATGATACTGGTCTCTTGTAAATTTATTATATGTGATATTAATGATGTAAGTAAATTATTAGAGTAGTTAGATGAGTATCCATTTTCATTTTATATTATTCAAAATCTCTATTGTATTTCATGGTTGTTACCTTAGGTTTTTATTATACAGGGTGAGTCTTAAATAAGTGGAAATATTTTCAGGGCTGGTAGATCTTGATAAAAGCAACATATTTACTCTTTACCATTTTTCAAATAAGTCCAAAATAACCGAGTTATTTAAGTTCGAAAATTTAAAAAAAATTGTTTTTTTTTGGAAAAATTTTGAGAGCCACCGGATTTTTTCTGTATTTGTATCCCTTTTAGTGCCGTAACCATAGAGAAAAGCTGTAGCTACGGTAATATCAGAGATTAAGAAATTATACCGTGGGAAAATTTGCCGTGAACAGACAGTTCTAAAAAGTTTTCGAAAAGTATACAGGGAAATTTAAAAGAAAATGTACGATTTTCAAGATCTTTTTTTTTGCGAAAAAAACCTCATAGACGTGTTCCTGGGGTCGAAATATATCACCCCTGAAAATATTTGCACTTATTTAAGACTCACCCTGTATAAAAGGTAGAGGGAATTATGGCATCTTAATTCCCGTTAATAATGTTCCAAGGGAATTATGACTATTTTTTGTTAGCGCAACCAAGATAACATAAGCTTATAATACAGTAAGAAATAAAATATAGGTATTCATCAGGTATCTTTGTAAGAATACGAAATTTTTTAAAAAATCACACTGAATTTTTGTTTTTTAATTTTAATTTGTATTTATATTAATTTCCAATATATTCCACGTCTGGCTTTCTGTTTATTATTTTTTCTACATCAATAATATAACGTACTATAATTTAATTTAAAAAATGTAGGTAGGTACCTTAATGACGTATCCTTTGGCTTTGCACGTGCCGTAATCCGTGGGTAGGTACCTGGCACCAATCACTTTCACCACGATCCGTTTGAGTTTCTCCACGAACGTCACTTTGAATCCGATCTGCGGCTCACTAGATCCTTTCGTCTCGCCCTGCTGTCCCGTTAGCTTGCTGTTGAAATACGTCAAAACACTTGACAATCGCTGTTCCATCTTTTGCCGGTGACCGTTCGCGTCGAACTGCGAAAAGCGCAACTATACCGCATTAAGCACAAACAGAGAAAAGTCAATTATCGTCGGCAATGATGACTGTCATTTGATGTAATTTGGATATGTTATTATACGTTCGGAACATGTGAATGTGATGAATACAAATGCGGGTGTCGGTAGAGCTGGTTTATAATGTTTAGTGCAACTGAACATCGGACTAATTAGATTTAGTGAGATGTGTTCGTTGAATTTTTTATCTTATCAGTTAAAACCTATTGTATTAAGTGTACGTCAATTTTAAGAATACGTATCCTTATATAATTACAGTATGTAAAGCTTTCTAATATGTATCAAACATCGAAAAAATTTGATTTTTTTACCGTTATCTAGTGAAGTCCATAATAGATAGGTAATCAATAAAAAAATTTTAAAAAATTAGAAAATAATTTTTGTCTGAGATACTAGGTGACCCAGTTAATTTTCCATAAATGTTTTTGGGAATTTACATCTTTTTATTTCCTAGCCTACTGCTATAATTTTTAGACCTTATAGGCTCGGTGCATTCTCCGCCGGTGCTGCCACCATCGGAGAATATCGTAAACTGGTATATACAAATACATAGGTTTAAATCGCAAGTATGGGAAAAAATTATTATATAATTATTGTAAAAGAGTTAGGAAGTGTAATTTGTAAAAATTATAAAAATAAAAATAAACAAGTAAATGTAAAACCTCTGACGAGGGTTAGGGGACTCAAAAAATCTTTTATTTCAAATTTAATTTCGATTTATCAAATCTCGTTTTTTTATCTGAAAAAATAAAGAAGTTATAGGGGTGAGCCACTTTTGAGACGCACCCGGTATATATTTTGTATATATTTTTTTGGTTAGACAAGAAATATTTGTAGAGTGTTAATAAGCACTGGAAATAGTGCATATAAACACTTCAAAAACCAAACACTTTAATTATTATAAAGTGTCTGATAAATACGTTGTAACAATATTCTCAAGAAAATATAAAAATCTACAATAATCTATATGTACTAGATATATAATAGATAAAGTGAGATTATATTGAACTTATCTACATTTATATATCATACCAAGTGGAATAAGTCGATAGAACATATTTATAAATGTTTGTTGTATTATTATTAATTTAATTTGATAAAAAAGGAATTCAGCAAACACAAAATAATGCGAAAATAAATAATAAAATAAAAAGTGTCTATATCTATGTATGTATGTGGCAGATTCATCTCTCAATCATTCGTCAACGGTTTCTTGTAGACGTATCAGTTTTAAAAAACTAAAGTCTTCTCGAATAGTTTTTTAATTTAAATATTTTAAATAGTTTTTTTCTTTATTCTTTGAATTTTTTTTGCTTCCGAGACGACGGAAAGAGATAAACTTTCCGAAACGTTAAGCATTTTTTTCTTTGTTAGGCAAATTTGTATAACTAAAATAACTTCTGACAAGCAGTTTCCGTTTGGGTTTAACGCAGAAGTGTTTACAAAAAATAACTATTTTATTTTGCAGATTTTCTTGCAGTGCAGTGGCGAAATACCCATAAAGGATTTTTTAGAGAGATGAATCCGCCACATAGGTATAGATATTTTTTATTGTATCTATATTCGTATTACTTATTGCATATACATAAATAGACCAATTATAAAATGGTCAAGTTTCAATTAAAGTTATTTAGATACAACATTGAGTTGAACAAATAGGAATGTCGATAAACGCACTGCTTTGTACAGCAGGACATCTGGAGTAATTAGATTAAGTGAACCATTGTAGTTTAATTTTTATATCAGTTAAAATAAATTATTGTAATGATACCTTCTGTTTAAGGCATAGTAATAATATTATTGATTTCTCTATAATGTTCATTTCTAATCATCATTTTTGAATCTAAAAAATATACAACTTAAAATCTCAGAAAAAAATTGGCGCCGGGAGGCACGTATAGCCGCCCATACTAAAATATGTTAATGAAAAGTTGTAGGTAGGCAGGTAGGCAGTTCTTTTAATTTCAGTTATCTTAAAAACTGCGACTTTGACTGATTTTGATGTTATTACAAATTTTGTTGCAAATATTATTCTTAATCTTAAACTGAAAACCGCGTTTCGCTAGCTACTGTAATTTTGGAGTTACGATTTTTTTAAGTTTTTAACCCCTCCCATACCCCCTTAACAACCCCTCACCCCCACCAAAAACTAATGGCCAGATTCTCGGGTGCCACAGTATTTTTGTGCCAAATTAGGTTAAAATCGGTTTAGCGGTTTTTGAGTTATCGTGTTACAGACAGACAGACAGACACCATGAAAATATTTTGTATTTAGGTCATTTATGGTCGGTATGGTCGGTTAAAAAAACAACGAAAATTTTTACAAAAGTTTTTAATTTTTGTTATAACTTTAATCATGTTTATGTAAATAACTTACAATAGCTCTACAAAGGCTTAACAAATACTTCAGACCTATAAACAGCAAAATAGTAAAAAATATAACTGGTTTTCTTTTGTTACTCAACATTACTTTTGAGTATTATTCCACATTAATCTCATTGAGAAAAAAGATTACTCTTAAGTTTCACTATATTTATATCCTCTAGAACACTTGTTTCAGTATATCACTCGGCATTTCGTTTAGTTGGCTTTCATCAGGTTTCTCTTCTGCTTTCTCATTTTCCGCAGTATCACTATCTTCATCACTGTCGCTCTCATCTTGGATAGGGTCAATGTGAACTCTTTCAACATTATCGTCAAAAGCAACAGATTTTTTTCGTTCTTCATCAGGATTTGGTACTGGAGACTTAGCAGATGAGTCCGTTGAATCAAAAACTCCTTCCTCCAAAGGATTTGCAAAGACGAACTTTGTAGGTCTTCTGTCAGCTACACTGATATAACTAGAAATATAAATTAGATCATAATTTGTTGATGAGTTAAAATATTGAGTGTTACTTGTCAGAGTCAGTATCGTCATCCTCGTTTGTCTCTACTGCGTCTTGTTTGGCAAAAACGAACTTTGTAGGTCTCCTTTCAGCAACATTAACATAACTAGAAATAATGATTTTATTATGTAGCTATTTTGGTGAGAAATATTTATGTTACTTGTCGGTAAAATCGTCACTAGTGTTGTCTTCGATTTTCTCAACGTCATCACTGAAAGCTACAACTTTGTCTGAGCCTGATTTGGGTGCGCCATCTACTTGAACCTCGTCCAATTCTTCTATGGGAGGAGTGGGAGGTATAATGTGGATACCTGTAGGTCTTCGTAAGGGTTCACTAGAAATTCTACAAAAAACAAGATTTTATTGTTTATAGTTTATGGAATATATGGCTTCTTTCTAAATCTCCCTGTGGAATATGTTAGCAAAGTTTAATTAAATTATACGAAAAATATGTTGTTTTGTGGGATACTACGCAAAAGATGTACAAAATGTTTAATAAAAAAAATGATGCATGGGAAGAAATATCGCAAGATATAGAAGTCGATGTAGGTGAAGTAAAGAAAAAGATGAAAAATTAGATTAGCTGATTTGTTCATTTCACGATCAGGGAAATAATCAAACTATATTTTATATAACAATAATTTTTATCATACAATCAAAAAAAAACGACGTCAAAGATGGCTTGTAAATGAAGATCTGTATCAATTTGAAAGTAATATTATGTGGGGAATATCACTTAAATTGAGTAACTAACTTGATTCAAATAACACTTACGAATCAGGTTTTTTCTTGATGTCATTCTTCTTAGTAAACTTGGTCTGCTTTGGTTCTATCTTTTCGACATCTTCTTCCAAATTGGCGTAATTTTCTCTTTAAAAAAGGTACCATTAAACCTAAAGCCACTTCAAAAACAAAAAGATATTTACCTGTTTTTAAAGTACCAGTATACTCCTGCAGTGACTATTAAACTAACTAAAAGACAGGCCAATATAATCACAGCTACCAGTAAACCTTTGTTCATGCCAGTTGGACTACTATCATCGTTTGAATTATTGCTGACACCAGTATTCACATTTAGGACAGCACTAGCTTCATCCTGAGTACTTTGATCAGTCACTACTATTTTTAGTGCTATAACTGCATTGTTACTGGTTACACTTTCGGGTAAGTTGGTAGCACTAATCACAAGAACATTCTTGGAATAAGTTTTGGTGAAATACGAAGCCAAGTTATTTTCTAAAAATCAGGATAAATTGTCATATGACTCAGTTTTTTTAATTTGCAGCTTATCATACCATTGGAGAGGACAATATTGATGTCACTATCACTAGAATCCGTTTCTAAGTCAATGTTTAACTTAAGTTCTCCATTTTTGTATTCTGAAGTATACAAAATGTCTTTGAATTTAACTGATTGTTCTTTAGCTATTTTTGGAAGTGTAATTACTAAGGATGCATAACCACTAACACCTGTTAATAAATCAAAGAATTTTTAGAGAAAGAAAAATATATTTTTGGTTATTTACCATCGCTGGATACAGCTATGAGAGTGAAAACAAGACTGGTTTCAGTTTTTAAAGTGTTATCTGATAATAAGCTGTTCACTTTTATTGTATAGATGTTTTCTTCTTTACTCTCTAACTCAAAATTACCTGAATATGTTGCATCTAAAAAAGGTAAAACACAATCGAAAATAACCCAAGCAGCATTTGGACGTCCGTCGGCACAACATCGTATCAACTCTAGTCTGCACTAGTTTGGGGAATAATTTTTGGGTCGAAACGACGTTGGATACCTACATTGGCTAGCAGCCTAATTTAGTACAAACTGCAACGTTGTTTAAAATCCTATTTCACAGAAATACAAAACTATAATAATATGGCGTCTAAGTCGCGTTTTATCCTAAATTGGGATAATTATAGTAAAAATATTATTTTTATGATTTAGTTAGAGACAAATGCCAGATGGCAGTAAAGGAAAACAAAACAAAAGTATTTAAGTGTGGAGGATGTGTGAAGATCACAATTATTGAAACACTTTAAACAATTCTGTAACTCGTTACCCCAGGCAAAAAAGTTGAACGCAAACAACTTTATTGATAAATGTATTGTTTCTACTTTGAAAAATACTAATGGGCCTTAAAATTAAAGAAGTTTTAAAAAATTTCTTGAAATTTTTTTTTAGTAAAGTGAGAAAAATTTATTCGCAGTCGAAAAAAAATTGTTTCCGCGTGTTGTTTAGGGTCAAATATTTCAAGTTAATGTATTCAAAAAGCAGGAATTGCTATTTTAGGAACGAAACATTTTCTTATTTAACAACATGGCGGCTTTCACTTTGTTGTTTTGAAGATTAAGAGGAAGTAGTTCGAGTAGTCGCATACTGGACTAATAAAGTCGGAGTTCAGCCTTAACAGGTAGTATCACAGTAGTATACTTGTCGCAAGATTGTCTAATTTAGTCATCCTAGAGTCTAGCTTGTGCCGCGCTCTATATTCTAAATAAATGAGGGAGTGGATAAAGTATCGGTAATATGTCGATGTATATTTAAATTTAGTTTTATATGTGCCTTTCTTACGTCCCATTTTAATTAAGTTTTTTTTTATAAAAACAAAAACAGCACTGAACTGTCTGACTCAACAGAACAATGAAGTGAAAATTTAAGATTTAAGGTTATGGTTCAATACAGTTGCAAAAAGGTAGTGGCTCGACGTCCTACCAACGTAAGAATAAGGAAATCTAAACAACGTTGGAATTAGTAAAACAGACGACGTTTGCGCAACGTTGGAATAGGTCCTGAAAGTGAGGTTGGAATAGGTCCTGAAAGTGACGTCGGAAAACTCTTTATCGCCCAAACTAAAGATCACTTAAACGAAAAAGGTTACAAGACAACGTTTATTCGACGTCGCAGAAGCTTTTACTTTGTTGTAGTACTAGATTTTAATACCCAAGGTACGGAGCTAACTATTTTTTGTAACTAATCCAACGTTGTGTTTAGTAAACATGTGGTCGCAAGTCGTGAAAATGCTACTTGGGAATTTAATACACCTCTGGAAATATCGTCGAGAAGAGAAAATTTCAACTTGAAAACAAACCAAAAATTGACAGAATAATCGGTTTCCTTTCAATTAAAATGACAGAGAAACTCTGGAACTAAGAGATATGATCTTGTTGTAGAAGCAACAAGCAATTAAAAATATAAAACTTTATGCTATGAAAAGGTGTCAAATATATTCTTAATAATTACACCAACTTAATTCAGATACAAGCCAAGAATAATATAGTATCTAAAACAATTTAATATATGTCATTGGCAATTCTGGTCTGTCATTTTAATTTAAGCTTGGACTATATTTTCTGTCAGTTTTTTGGATGGGGTTTATCGAAACTGTCCTTTTTTTGCTGGAATGACTTTATATTTTATATAATCTATACCAAATAAACTTTTAGTTACGTCATCGAGGACGCGATTATTAAATCCATTGTTACCAACCATGGACATATTCGGCGCCGGGCTGACTAACTGGAATTTAAATTTCTCGCTGCGGATTCAGGTGGTAGCTCTGCTTTAAAAATGTCATTTATGAATTTGCCACATTTATTTATTAATTTTGATTCGTTTTGATACTCCAGTTTTGTATTACTAGTTTTTGGTGTAAATGTATTTTGCTGTGATACTTTAAGCTTAAGATTTTTTTACTAGCAGACCTTGCAGTCGAAAATTGTTCTTTTTAGGACCGCTTTTATTGTGTAGTGTACAAGATTCCAGAGCAGTTTAACAGCCGTTGCAAGAAACTTATCCCAACCTTATTAGAATATTTTAAACGGGAAAGCGCTAATATAATGGCCCTGTATGCCCCTTAAGTTGTTGCGGAGACCCCAGATAACTGTTTATATATTTATAATTAATTAATGTTTATTTCCTAAAATGTTCTGATTAAAAGAAAATATGTAAAAGTCAGCAATGCTGTTCCGGTCAAGCTTAATCACGTAATTAAAAGTTTATTTGTTATGATTGAAACTTATATTACTCCCAAAAAAGTTACCTTCAATGTAAACTGAAGTAACAGTGATGCCACTCTTTTTTAGTATAATTATATCACTATCTAATGCAACAGTTGCCCCATTATCTGTGACAGTATAGGTTCCATTAAATGTGAATTTGGTGAATTCTGGTTTTTTACTATCACTGGCACTAGAAGGTAAATTGATGACTAGACTGGTTGTGGCCAATACACTGTTGTCGCTTTTTCTAGTTGCTGTAAGCGTGACGGGTAGATTCTCGTTCTTGTCCGTTATCTCGGAAGTTAAGGGTTTTGAACTTGTCAAAGTCAATTTGTTATCAGTCAAGGTTGTTGTAAAATAGTCTGTATAATCTAAAATAAGATTTATAAAGGTTAATCAGAACAATTCAATATAATAATAGTTTTTTTTTAAGTTTTAGTACTTAATAATTTAATTTTAATAAGTATATGAAATGGAAATATTCAACAATTCTAATATTTACCTGATAAAGTTACATCAACGAGTGACAAATCTGCGGTTTCAATTGACATAGCATCAATATCGATTTTAGCTGCATCATTTTCCACAGAGTAAGTCCCCACATAAAACTTGTTGGAAAAACTAAGGCTGGGCAACTTAACAGTCAAAACTGCGTCTCCGTAAGACACACCAACTTTAGTAATCGTCATGGACAGTTTTAGTTCAGAATAGTTAGTTAAAACAGTGTCGTTTAAAGGATTATCTATTTTTATTACAGTTTTGCTTTGAGTCGCATCATAAGCGACACTGAAGACTTCAGAAAATGCTGAAATAGTTCATAGAATCAATAAGTTTTTTTTGTAGTGTATACTCAAAAAAAATGTCAACCATAATTTTGAATTTTAATTTTTTAAACTTGTTGGCAAAACTAAGGCTGGGCAACTTAATAGTCAAAACTGCATCTCCGTAAGACACAGCAACTTTAGTAATCGTCATGGACAGTTTTAGTTCAGAATAGTTAGTTAAAACAGTGTCGTTTAAAGGATTATCTATTTTTATTACAGTCTTGCTTTGAGTCGCATCATAAGCGACACTGAAGACTTCAGAAAATGCTGAAATAGTTCATAGTTTCAATAAGTTTTTTTTGTAGTGTATACTCAAAAAAAATATCAACCATAATTTTGAATTTTAATTTTTTTTTTGAGTGGATCATTCTACAGACTACAGAATGCTTTGTACTATTGCACGTTTTGTGTACAGGGTGTCCCATTTTCGTGTGATTTACAGGGTGTCTCGTTTATGAGTAGAGATACAAAGATTTCACATTCACACGACTGTGCTACTTTTTTATAACTAAAGATGCTACACACAGATATGTCCTAGCCCTCTTAGTTCCTGAATTATTATATGCTATACCGGGTGCGTCACAAAAGTGGTTCACCCCCATAACTTTTTTATTTTTTTTAGATATAAAAACGAGATTTGGTATGTTAGTATATGACATAAATTAGGATTGATTGACGTATTCAATTGCTTTCGGTCACTTCCGGTTTCACCGGAAATGACTACAACTTTTGATTTTTAAATAGCAACCTCGGTATTATTTTACTTTATTTGATAGAAAATGACACTCTGAATAAAATGACATATCATATGTCAACTTTTGACATTTACGCATATGGTTTATTTGAAATTGTAACATGCGGTTCATAACAACAATTTGACTCAATACCATACCAAGTGTGTGGTATCAAATTATTCGTAAAAAAATGCTTTTTCCGAATATGCTGATGAGCCATCCTCGTTCCGTTTGAACGAATTGATATATGATTAAAAATACGATTTGGTCATATTTTAACCGGCCAGAACACGACACTAAAAACATTAGACGATCAAATCTATTTTTCCAAGGCTGCTTGATTAAAAATTAGTGTTTTCAACACAACCATGGCACTCTAGAATGAAACTTAAAATACAATTTGTTTGTGAGCGAATATGTCAGAAGTTGACGTATGATATGTCATTCGATTCAACATGTCATTTTCTATTGAATAACGTAAAAAAATACCGAGGGTGCTATTTAAAAATTATAAGTTGTAGTCATTTCCGGTGAAACAGGAAGTGACCAAAAACAATTGAATATGTCAAGCAATCATAATTTACGTCATATACTAACATACCAAATCTCGGTTTTTTTATCTGAAAAAATAAAAAAGTTATAGGGGGTGAGCCACTTTTGAGACGCACCTGGTATAGCGTCCGCTTAATATCGACATTAACATATTAATGTCTGGGTTAGGTTATGTTTTTTGTTGTTTTGTTGCGTGTTATTCTCAAGATTAACCGGGTACTGTCGATATTAACCGGACATCGGACCTTAACCGTAACATATATATTCTATAAACTAACAAACATTAAAATTATGGGGGTCGATTTAGCAACCATCAACCTATAAAGGATTCAATCACGAAAATTTCTTTTTTTTTTCAAAAAATCTTCGAAAGTATTCTGAATTTTTAAACTTTTAATGTGGCATTTTGGATCAGCATCAAATTACGTAACCTTGCCTCAATTTAATCAACCTCGTATCCCGAGATCCCAAGTATGATGCTCGAATTTAGGACACCCTGTACAATAGTGCAAAACGTTCTCTAATAAATAATAAACTTATACAGTCTTAAATAAGTGCAAATAATTTCAGGGCTGGTAGATCTCGATAAAAGAAATATATTTTCTCTTTGTTGTTTTTCAAATAAGTCCAAAATAACCGAGTTATTTTGGACATCAAAAAAATGATGTTTTGCTTAAATTTTAAGAAACACTGGATTTTTCTGGGTTTTCTTTCTTGTAAAATTTTGGATCAGCATCAAATTACGTAACCTTACCTCAATTTAATCAACCTCGCATCCCGCGATCCCAAGTATGATGCTCGAATTTAGGACACCCTGTACAATAGTGCCGAAACGTTCTCTAACAAATAATAAACTTATACAGGGTGAGTCTTAAATAAGTGCAAATAATTTCAGGGCTGGTAGATCTCGATAAAAGAAATATATTTTCTCTTTGTTGTTTTTCAAATAAGTCCAAAATAACCGAGTTAATTTGGACATCAAAAAAATGATGTTTTGCTTAAATTTTAAGAAACACTGGATTTTTTCCGGGTTTTCTTTCTAGTAAATTTAATCTAATACCTATGTTGCCATATTATCAAGAAATTATGTTTTTTAACTAAAAACTAATATGCACTGAATATATTTTTCTATATAATCAATTAATACTAACAATTTAAAGTAATAATTACGTTCGCATAATCGGTAATTTCAATGCCCGAATCGTCCAATAGTACTATTTCGTTTTGGTCTCCATTAATGACGTATTCAGCAGTGTAATGCGCCTGCACGAAAGCCACGCTTATTTTATCAGGTAATTTCAAAATTAAACTAGCTCTGCTGTAATCGCCGGTTCCATCTTTAGACGCTGTTAAATCTATAATTAATTTAGAATTATTCCCAAGTACTTCAGACTTTAAATTTTCCGTCACTGTAATCTGGCAGGCTTTAGTTGAAGAATCGTAAGCGATTTTAAAGTTGGAGGAATAATCTGAAAATTAAGCTGCTTTAGTAAGTTATGTCCAATCCAAAAACGGTATTTAGAACACCCTATATGATTTAAGATTACGATATTTATAGCAAAGTAAGTATAGACCATCTCAGGTAAATACCTAATATAGTTTTGATATTCAGGACAGTTCTTGTATTTGTAATATTTTTTTTAAGAAAGGTTAAAAAATATATAGTTTCTAATTATTTATTAATATCTCTTATATCTAAAATTATCGAAATATATTTACTCATATCTTAGGATTATGTAAAGGTAATCTGGAAGGGAGCCAAAAATGCAATAATACACAAGGTGTTCCATTTAAAAAAAAATCATCCCGATTGACTTTTTGTTGCATTTAAACCAAATTTTCAAGTTTTAAATTCTGGGAGCTACAGATGCCCGACGCACTATTGTCGGACCCTGTATGAGTAAATGCTTTAGGAAATCATTAGGACTCAAAAAAATGTTAATGTTAAATGCCCATCATCATCACTAATTAAGACTATAATAATAATATACTTACCACTTAAAGATATAGCTACATCTGATGAGCCAAGATCAACAAAGGAAATGACATCAGTTATATTAACCTGCGCAGTTCCAGTTTCGGTAGTTTCTATAATATAGTCTGCCGAATAATGTAACTGGGAAAATGAAAACGTGGTAGTATATGAAGGTAATTTAACCATAATTGCTGTTTTTCCAGAAATATATCTATATGTTGCTACCACTGGCACTAATATTTCGGTATTTGAACTTAGAACACTTGAATCTAAGTTATCCTTAACCTTGAAGGTGCACTGAGACGAATCACAGGCTCCTTCGAAATTACTTTCATAACCTAAAATTAATATTTCCTAAAAATCACGTCTGGTTTTGAAATCGAATGAATTTTTTACCAACAAAAGTGAGTTGAATATTTGATGTTGCAACATCGATGGTTATTAGTTCATCCAAATGGACAGAATCAGAACCAGACTCCGCCTGGGTATAGGAAGCCGTATAGTAATTTTTACCAAATGTCATTACGGTGCTTGGAAGCTCCAAAACTAAAACGCCTACAGCTTTATCTGTAACTCCGGATTGGCTTGCTGTTATTGAAATTAAAAGTTCTCCGCCTGAAGCCAGAATAGAGTCTTCCAAGTTTGATAAAACGTTGACTTGGAATTTATCGGAGACCAGTTTGATTTCAATGGAAGACTGGTAAGCTAAAAGAAGTAATTTAATTGGACAGAATTTTAAAAATGACTTATACCGTGTGGTGCATCGGACCACGGGACATAGAAAATCCCATGTAAATTTTGAAAAGATCAAATATTATCTCCCCAGATAATTTTATGTAAAAGCTGTATTAGACTTTTTTTGAAGAAGCGTAAAGCTTGTACGTGTACAAGCTTTACACACCTGCGCAAACCTGTTTGTATCGGGAACTCGCTGTGTGTAGACTAGTAGTGGGAACTATCGAATGAATACTATCGAAACATTCGATAGTTGCAATTCATTCGAATAATTCGATAGTTAGTAAGAAAACATTCGTTGAAAACTATTCGAATAAAAATTATCGAATAGATCCGTCATCTGCTTTGAAATATTGTATTCTAGTAATTCGGCAGCAAAAACCATTCATTCATTTATGAAATTCATTTATTCGTCAGGATCGATTATAATAAAATATTAACTGAATTTTAGTTGTCGCCCGGCGACGTAGGTTTCTTTCCGAGAAACCCGACAGCGGTCGGTGGCAATGCTATGAAAGAAGCCGGCATCTTTGATTTTTTGCGGAGTCAGATATAGATAAGGACACATTATTTTTTTTATTGAGGTGCTAGTATTTACACAGAAAATACATTATGAAGGGCGCTGTTGCCATATTTTGGCATTAGTTGATATTAGCAAAGAATATTATTGTTTGGCTTTAGTTAGTTAGGGATAGTATGTCTATATATTCTGCATTTTTTTTTATTAATATTCTGTTGTTACACTGCAATAATACTTGTTATTTTGGATGTAAGAACATGAAAGTGATTTTTAATGTTTTTAAGCAAAGACTGGTTTAATAAATAATAATAACAGTAATAATTTGTTATACCTATTAACAACAAAATTTAAAATGATTTAATATCAATATTTTTTTAAGTAGTAGCAAAATATAAACAACAAATTAGATGTCAAAATTATTTATATTAGATCCTATTTAAAAATAATATAGTCTTTAAATTTTTTGGCAACGTTGGTTTGTTAAATAATAATAATTACAGAACTAATTTGTTATATTAACAACAAATTTTAAAATCATGAAATATAAACATTTATTAATTTTCTAAGCATGCAGTGTAATGGAACGAAAATATAAATAAAAAATTAGAAATCAAAATTATTTATATTAGGTGCTTTATATCTCTATTTAAAAATTATATTAATTAATTATATTACTTTTACTGGCATTTACTTTAAAAAATAAATTAAATATTTCTTCGCAAAAAACTACATGTAAGAGAATTAGCATAAACAAAATACAAACATCGTTAACTTTTTTTTAAAATTGGCACGTGTAAAACTTTCATTTTAATTTTCTCACCCCATAGTTTGAGTTCGATAACCACATTTACTTAACCACATTACTTAAATATGATTATTAAGTTCAACTAATTCATATTATTAAAACATCTAAAATACAAATATGTATTTTTAACATTAATTGTAAGTTCATCTCATCTCTCTTAAAAATTGCTACTTCTCAAAATTTCCCATTAAAAAATAGACCATATACCATATAAAATTAAATAATTGAAAGATCGGACTACGGAAAACCACACAAATTTTCGGAAAAATTTTGACCACCTGCACATGCACACAATCGTCAATAAATAAAATTAAAAAATAACTACTATTTTAGTATTTTAACTATTTTAATAAACGCAAAAATAGCACAGTATTTATACGGCGAAGTTATAAAAATTTGGAAGAACTAATAATGCACTGACGCATACAAAAATCAAACGAAAACTAAATTTCATTTATCAAAAGCATTCGATAGTCGTGGCTCAACGATAACCATTTAGTCGCACGGCGAGGTTGTCACATATGCTTTAGTATACAAATGAATGAATGATTTTATTCGAATAAAACCATTCGATAGTTGATATCATTCATTCATTAACCATTCGATAGTCTAATTCATTCGATAGTTCCCATCGCTAGTGTAGACGGTAAAACGGTAGTACGCACAAACCAACAAGCGCGGCCTTCGAAAACGTCGCGCTGCTAAAGATGTTAGTTTGCGCAAACCAGTTTGTGCGGTGATATCATACGTGTAGACGGTATCAGCGCGTTCAAGGTACAGTTTTGTGACTTCTGTGGGTTTTGTGTTATTAGTTATCAACTCTTAGAAAATGTCTAATATTCGTACTTATTCCAATAAGGAGTTTATGACGAGTTTTATTGAAATATATTGATCGTTGCCATGTCTATGGAAGATAAAATTGAAAGATTATTCCGATAGAAACCGAAAAAATGATGCGTACAAGAAAATGGTTTTCTATTTAAGTCAGTTTTTACTCCACTTCGATCCATACCGTTTATTTTGCTGTTTTTTCTTTAACAATAAGCAATAAAAAACAATAATTCGCCACTTGACATTTCCACGAACGGAACCACAAATTCAGAATAAAAATAATGATGAATGTACGCTCTTCCTTGCATCGTGTGGACACCGCACAGTGTTCCTTCTAGTTTGCGCAAACTATACCGTGCAGGCAAGTCGCTGTCGTGTAGCCGCCGCAAGTTGTACTTTGGTCTAGAATTTCCTTTAATTTAGAATAGGCATTTAAATGATATTTGTTATTTTTTTACCAAAATCTACCTTCAAAATACTAAAATTTTATAATGTTCCGAATTAATATACCCGAGTTCCAATGCACCACATCAGGGTATATAAAATGGCGTATAAGAACAAAGGTTAATGCAGTTCGATATATTCCTAATAACTTATTTTTAATAGAGATCTGATAAAAAGCTATATATGATTATGATTATGACCATATAGATATTAGTAGCTATATTAGTAGTTAATATATGGGTATGAAAACGGTCGAGTATTGGGTAAAATATACGAGGTACCGCAAAAGGTTAAACATAAAAGTTATGGGGTTTTAAATGTCTATTGGCGAGTAATAAATTTAAGTAGATAAACAGGGTCGGTCATAAAGTCGTATCACATCAATGTTTCGTTCTTTTAAATGGAACCCCCTGTATATTATTGCAGGTTTCAATTCTTCCTTCAATTCTAAGGAAAACCAGAGATACACATAATGTACCTCAAACCAATCGTTTCCGAGTTATTTTGAGACTTTTGAAAATATCACTTAAACAATTCGATTTAATTAATTTCGATGTGTTCGGTTTCATTTAACGATGCCATTCTGAGGAAACTGTGATAGCTAATGATATTTGATATTAGTTTTCAAGTTAGTATTTATAGATGTATAAAATGAGATTATATCAAGACCGGAAATTACAAAATTTTCGTTTAACATGTCAAAACCAAAAAGGTTGTATTCAGGTACATCATGCGTATTACAATTTTTGCTTAGAATTGAAATACCCAATAATATATAAAGGGTTCCATTTAAAAAAAATGAATCTTTGAGGTGCCACGACTTCATGACTGACCCTGTATACTTAAATTTATTACAAGATGTTAGGAATTTAAAAACCCTCTAACTTTTGTATTTAACTTTTTGCGGGACCACGTATACTTTGCCCAATAATCGACCGTTTCCATTCATATCAGCGACCCTGTATAACCAATAATTACAAACAATCATGAGAAAATTAAAGGAAAAAAATTGAAGAGAAAAATATAAACTAAAGATATAATAGTTTTATTTTTAAAAAATCTTTAGCTCTATATTGCTCTAGATTTTGAAAATTTACTGTTACCTACTAAAAAACAAAAAAAAACACTGTACTTACTTTCCTCAACTTCGATACTTATATCAGTATAGTCAGTAATTCCAGAAAATCCAATATCATCGGTCAGTGATACAGTATCTTTATCCTCTGTACTGACTGAATACGTTGCTTTATACAGTGATTTGTCAAACTTCAATGAACCCGTATCACTTGAAGGCGTAGAAATGATGACCATGGCTTCGGAATTGCCACTCTCAGATTGTGCAGTCACGGTCAAAATTATATTTGAGTTCGAGTCAAAATCACTAGTCTTCAAAGAATCTATAGGTGTAATTTTGTACGTAGACGAATCGATATTAAATAAACTTGCTTTGCCTAAAAAATGAAAACAATTGTAACCAAAAAAAATCCAATAAGAATAATCATAGATTAGTTTTTTTACGAGAAAAATTTGATCACCATCTACTTTTGATGAAAGAATCGTTCCCCGATATGATGATTCGTTCAGAGTAGACAAAAATTGAACGATTCATTCATCTGAATGAGTATTAAAAATAATACGGTATAAACCTCGCTTGGGATATACTTACCTCCAGACAGGGTTACGCCACTAGCATCGGTAATGCTTATTTCATCTTGCCACGTTATGGTGTTGTCATCGAAACTGTAAGTTCCGCTGTAATAATCATTGTTGAACTTAGGTAATATTTTGATAACGTTCACTACTAGAACTGTACTAGTAGTGTAATCAGTTGTATACACTAAATTAAGTATAACTGGGCTGATAGCATCAAGTTTAAGAGAGTTATCTGTGTTAACTTCCAGAGAAAAAGTTTTCGATTCATTAGTAAACACTATCTTAAAGTTGTCTTTGTAATCTGAAAACGGAGATATAAGTTAAGTATCTATGTTATAATTTAAATGTAAACATAGCCAAAGTTATAGTTTTTAAATGTATGAGTAAACATATAAAAAATTAACATTTGGGCAAAATAAAGATAAAAATATTACTCTAGGAAAGCATTCGGATCATGTATGTTGTATGTGTTTATAAAAGTCCTTACCTCCAGCCAGTTCATAGTCAGCATTACTGATTTTGTTGCTGTTGATACTAATATCAGAACCAAGACTAACTAAAGTAGGGACATTGTCTTTATATGTGTAGCTATATGAAAAAAGAGAACTAGAAAATGTTGGCGTGTCCAAACCAGTCTCTTCATCCACTTCAATTGTTAGAGTTACTGTAGTAGACTTCGGTTCGGGAGCACTATCCTACAAAACCAAACTTAAAGCTACCAGTGTTTTGTTTGAAATTATAAGATTTTATAGAAACACTAGCAGATATACTGAGTGGCAAAAAAAGAAAACATCTATGCATGTTTATCATATTTCGATAATTTTTACCATGGCCACCATTGAAGGCTGTCGAATTTAGAACACCCTCCGCAGATTTTAGCAGCCCTTATACATAAAGTTGAAGTAACATGGAATGGGATAACCCAAGAGGGCATCGACCACCTTATCAGAACTATGCTCAGGCGTCTCAATCGGAAGTCAGCAACACATTTGACCTAACATTTCCATTAGGGTATCTTATAGAGCTGAAATCCTAATCGATTGCTAAGTCAGAAAAAGCTGCCATCCTGTAGACCAAGAATCATTAAATTCTTATGAATATACATAGGCGTTCTCGTTTTTTTTTGTCACGCAGTACATGTTTATAGAAAATCGTATTTAAAACCTACGTATATAAATAAATATATTCGCAAAAAAGCCAATTTTTCTATGAGTTGGTTATGGAATAAAAGAAGTCTATACTTTCCAATTATACTTACTGTTGCTGTTAGCTGATATATTGTCGTCCCACTCAGCGATATGATTTTATTTGCACTAAATGAAGGTGTGTAGGTTTTATTACCATGATTGGAAGTGGTAATGTCAAAATCTGCTGGGTCGATGGAAAAAACGATGTTAGTATTGGTGAAATCCAAATGAGTAACAGTTACAGAATCGCCGTAAACCGTAATGTCACTTTTGGGCATCAAAGGCATTGGAACTTTAAAGGTATAGTTTTCTTCTGAGAATACTGGAGAATTTTGATGGGTGTTTTCTATAGATATTTGCAGGTACGTCTAAAACATGAGATGTATAAATATAATTTTGATATACAGGGTGAGTTTCCTACGATGTTCTCTATGGGTATCTCGGAAACTACTGGAGATAGAGAGTCAGTTAAATAAGGAAAGAATTGCAGTTTTATGGGGTCATAAATAAGCGCCTTTCAGATTTTTGAAAAAGTTCATGGCTTACTAGATATTTCGAAAAGAACAAATTTTGGCTATTTTAAAAATTGTCCCTAATTCCATTATAATCTATTTTAGACAAAAAGTTTTCAGATAAAAGTTGTAGATATTCACATCCCTAATGAGACTGTGTTCTCCGATTTTTTCTAAAGCCTGTCATTTTTGACATATGACACAAATATATGTTTTTTTTTAAATGGAAACCATAGTTGGCCATGACTTCATAAACAGCGTCATTTTTTAAGCTTTTCAGCGATATAAGCTATAATATGTTTCTTTCACAAAATTACTGAGTTATAGCCAATTCTTATCTTTCTTGACTAATTTTACTTAGTTAGCCATGGAAACAAGTTCAATCGTCGTTGCTCTCAGAAATATGAAATTGTCATATTCAATCTTTGTGAATTAAAATAAACAAAAATTGTAAATAAGAGTTTTTCAAATGAAGAAAAGCGTGTAGGATTATTGGTTCAATTTTTCTTGGCCATACAGTTTCGAGGATACGTTGACCGGTAAACGTTACTTACGTTTTGTAGAGAAAGGTTTTCAAGACATGTTAGGAAAGTTAAATTTATTAATACTCGCCCATTAATAGAGTGGTTCCAACATGACTTTCATTATGACACACCAACCCCAACCCCCCCCCCCAAACACACACAATGAAAAAATGTTAAAAATTATTTATATCATAATTATCTGACTCAGGGATAGAAAGAGGTGGACCAAATTGCATGGGTCTCCTCGGTCACTTGACCTATCCATTTTAGATTTTTTTATGCGGTATGGTTAACAACAAGGTTTACAGAAGAACTTATGCATTAAGAGAGGCACTGGAAGAGGCGGAACAGGAGAAGTTTAATTAAGTCGACCGGTCGTTCTGTGAGAATAGCTAGAAATTCAGTTTTAAAAAGATGCATTTATGTACTCAAAACAATTGCGGATTTTTTGAAAATTTTCTAAAATAACTTTATAATATAGATTAATAATATATTTTGTCTTTTTATAAGTAATAAATCATAACAAAATTAGAACACCATTGAAAACCGTTCTCTAAAAAAAGCGTAAATAACTTTCACTGGTCAACGCATCCTCGAAACTGTATAGCCGAAAAAAGTTGAACCAATAATCCTACACGCTTTTCTTCATTTGAAAAACTCTTGTTTACAATTTTTGTTTATTTTAATTCAAAAAGATTGAATGCGACAGTTTCATATTTCTGAGAGCAACGACGATTGAACTTGTTTCCATGGCTAACTAAGTGAAATTAGTCAAGAAAGATAAGAATTGGCTATAACTCAGTAATTTCGTGAAAGAAACATATTATAGCTTATATCGCTGAAAAGCTTAAAAAATGGCGCTTTTTATGAAGTCATGGTCAACTATGGTTTCCATTTAAAAAAACATATGTTTGTGTCATATGTCAAAAATGACAGGCTTTAGAAAAAATCGGAGAACACAGACTCATTAAGAATGTGATTATCTACAACTTTTATCTGAACACTTTTTGTCTAAAATAGATTATAATGGAATTAGTGACAATTTTTAAAATAGCCAAAATTTGTTTTTTTCGAAATATCTAGTAAGCCATGAACTTTTTCAAAAATCTGAAAGGCGCATATTTATGACCCCACAAAGCTGCAATTCTTTCCCCATTTAACCGACTCTCTATCTCCAGTAGTTTCCGAGTTGCCCATAGAGAACATCGTAGGAAACTCACCCTGTATAATATAATTTTATTATATTTTTCTTATACCAATTACCACCAAAATGTTTGACAACTTATTTTATTATTGAGGAAAAGTAAGAATAACTGATGGTAGCCCGATTGTCAGTTAAATATTTATTTATATAAATATTCCCTATTATTAGGAAGAGATTTAGTTAAATAATTTGAATAAATATACAAGGTGTCCCAGAAATAAGTGCAAGTATTTTAACTGGTAGTATAGTTCAACCCCAGAAACACGCCTATGAGTTTTTTTTGCGATTTTTTTTTTGAAAATTCGGAATTTTTCGAAAAAATATTTACAATTTTTTATAGTTTTTAGCTAAAAAAACATAATTTCTTGATATAATGGCAACATAGGTAGTTAGATTAGTCTATTTATAAAAATATTTGCATTATACATTACATTTTTAAGGTGTCTGGTCAAACGAAAAACAATGTTTTAATATGAAAATAAAGTGAATATTTATAAAAAATATATATTTTACACGTGTGCCTTTTTTTCGCAAATACGGCTTTTATAAATAATAATAATAATGTGGTGAATTAGTGTTTTATTTTGCTGTTGTCACACCAAAGGTTCGAACCCCCAATCCTTACTGTCTTTACAAATATGACAAGAAAAATAAAAATGTATATTATACCTGTCCCGAAGAGCAAACGATCGTCAAATAGATATCTAATGCTTTATTATTTGTTGGTGAAGCATCCTTATTGACATTGGCAAAACTCTCAGTTGTTGACAAAATGAAGTTATTGTCGTCCGTGCTATATGTAAAATAGCTTAGAGCAGTATCTTTGTCTACGTTGTTGCTTACTGATACAGTCATTGAAGTTATATCTAAAACATAAATAATATTACGTTAACCTATAGTTATTAAAAAACTAATAAAATATTATTGAAAGAACTGGGTCCAATTCTTAACGATATTATGTTATAAAATCATGCCAACAACATATATTATTATTTCTACCTACTAAACAAAAATAGTTTTTACCTGAACTTCTAGTGGTTGAAAGGATTTGTACTTCAACATCTGTATCCTTTATTGTTAATACTTGCAAAGTGTTAGTACAAATTTGACCTGAAATTAATATTTAATGAATTAATTAAATTTGAATTAATGTGGCTACACGGATAGGAAATATTCTCATGAATTTGAGAATATGAGAATCCAAACTCTGTGAACTTAGATCAACAATCTTAATTGCATATACAGTTTTCCCTCAATGCTTCGACTATGCAGTCCAATCCTTGAGACTTGAGACATTCCTCAACGTTTCTGGTAAAAACATTAAGGCTGTCTGTCGACTGTTCAGTCCACAAAATTGTGCAGGCCTGTCTACACAGACTAAACTCTACGTGTGTGGTAGTATAAGAGTTTAATTTATTACTTCTTGTGGAAAACTTTATTAAAATATACATGGGATGAGCCTTGTCTTTGCCAAACAAAGTGTTAAGGGTTCTCCCATTTATTGTACTGTACCAACAACTTCAACTACTTCAAATAATAAATGCATTTTGAAAAGGCAATTAAAAGGTAAAAAACGCTGCTAAAACTATTACGCCAAAGCAAGTTTTTTCCAAAGCCTACGATGACTTCACTGAATCATCGTTTCTTGTTCACTGTTATTAATATTTGAATTATAAGACATTAATACATCTGGTGTTATGGTATTCTGGTATTTCATCGATTTTAAAATAAACTAACTGTTTCAATCTTATTTTTTTGTTAGAATGGGCATAATCAAGAGGGCTACAACATGACCGTTCGCAAGTTCAAGTCGCAAGTTAAAGTTTTCATTTTGGTGGATTACTTCGATCTCTAATATACCCGGAAAAAAAACATATTTTTAAAATGTTTTTATAGTTTCATTGATTAGAATTTAAAATAATATGGATATAAAAGCATTTCAATAATTTTAAAGCATCTGAATAATCTCCTGATTGTATATTTGTATCGAATATTCCCATCTCATACTTTTCTATGACAGGTATTAAAAAATCAAATCTCAAACTGTCAAAATTCGTCTATTTAAGATTAGATAACGGTACTTTCCCAAAAATAACAATAGCGCTTCTAAACAATGTCATAAATCAATTATTTTTATTGCTTTATTTCATTATTTTAATCAATTGTTGCTATAAACGTTTTGTATATATGTGCATCTCTAAATACATTATTTTTTTTTATTTTTTAATTTAATATACATTAGGGGTTTTAAATCTCGCCGTTTTAAAACAGTGCTTAAAACGTGCGCGTAGGATGCATCGCGGCGAGCATCGCATCGAGATGCCCCACTATGTTTGTACCCTCAGATTTTCGCAATATTAATAAAATAAATGAATTCTGTGGATTACACTTAAAGGCTACATACCATTTGTCATTTGTGAACTCACTAAAAACGACACAAAAACCCATAAACACTTTTCCATTTTGATTGACTATGTGTGTATCATATCACAGTAAGATGATGACTGAGAGTAGATTTAATATAAAAATATATCTAATCAGCAAAACATTATCAGATTTTTCTGCAATGAATATTATTAGACAATCGAGTATATCAGAATTTTATTGATTTGATATTTTGCGTAGAGAGATTTGAAAAAGCACTTTGGTACATACTTAGAAATACACTGATTTGTTCTTATTAAATATATAGCATACGGATACGAAAAAAAAACGGCGTCGAGAATGACTATCGATGATAATTTTGACAAGGTCAAACCCTGTCCTAGACGCCATTACTTGGTCCGATTCTTCTTTATTTTTTAATGACTTTTTTCTTATTTTGTTATTGAGTAAAATTAATTTTTTATTTTAAAATTTGATAATTTTTTTTTGGGAATAAATTTGTGTCTGGAAACGTTCTATCCTTTTTGAATCTTTCTAATTTTTAGTAAATAACGCCTGAAGATTGACCTCGCCAAAATTATCATCGATTGCCATTCTCGACGCCGTTTTTTTTCGATCATACAGTAGAGACCACTATAACATGAAAATCATTCTTACGATATTTACTAAAAGATAAGGGAGTTTTAATGTTAATTAATAAAAATAAGGGATAAATATTTTATAATTTTCCTCTGAGGGATGTCTATTTTAATATGATGAACTGCATGAAAAACGTCATAAGAAGATAGAATATAATTTACGCAAATCATATTTAGTTTCATTATTACCATAACATATTATATTCAAATAAATATTCTCAATAAGTATATCTTATCATAATATTATCTGAAGCTAATCCCTAACTATTCTTAATACGTACCGAATACCGATTTCGAGAAGTTGATTGATAGGCTACTAAAACAATACATGATCCAATAAATATTTTATTCTAAAGTATACTCCATTAGGAAAATATACATTACATATATGAAAAACTATGAACAAGAAATAATAATTTTACACTATATTTTAGTTATCGGTTTTATTCTGGTTGAAACCGTCTGGTTTAACCGGTATTCTAGCAGCAAGATTCAACATGCTGGCCCACTGACCTTCGCACAGCTTGTCAAAGGTCATATCCTTAAGGAGCAGTCCACCGAGATACCCTGGTCCTCTACAGGATGGGTCAGAGTCCCATATTTTATTGTTATTTGCATCAATCCATCTAAAAGACAATGAAAATCAGTTTGGATTTGGATAAATAAAGTTATTATCTTGAAACTTAGTTTTAACTAATATTAGTTTAGTTTATTTTAGTTTATTGTAAAAAAAATCTGATACTAAAAAAATTTGGGAGTCATGTGCTTGACTCATTGGTTCGCTATTCTGAAGAAGATGATCTGTCTTGACCGCTTGATGCTTTCATAATACATAATATATAAAAGAAATATCAGAAAAACTGTTTTTAAGTCTGGAACTAAAAAACTAATTGCTTAACTTTCTCTAAAGAGCCGGTAAGATAATAAAAATCACAATCCAGATACCTAGGACTAGATATGTCGCACTACCATGACCCAGAGAAAGATCTGAGAAGCCAAATTAACAGAGCAACGGCCATGTCAGGATATCTGAGATAAATGGTGTGGACAAACCCCTTCATGCGAACAGACAGCAAAATTAAAATTTGTATGACCTGCATCAGACCAATAATGATGTATGGCATAGAAATCCGAGAGAAAACAAACAAGACCAAAAGCATGTTAAGAGTCGCTGAAATGAAGAATCTAAAAACCATAATGGGAAATACTAGAAGAGAATTAGAAACACAAATATCAGACAACAATGTGGATTGCAGGACGTAGTGAGATGGTGTAGGCAAAAAAGAAGACAATGGTTCGCACAGGTAAAACACATGGGAGAAAACCCCATGGTACAAAACCCATATGTAAGAGACAGCCGGGAAGACCTCCAAAAAGATGGAAAGACAGTTGGCAGTCCCTCTCCCAAGAACTCCTACAGAGGCAACCTTAAAATACTAGAGAGAAACAAGCCCTATAACATAGGATACAACATTTTAGTGAACAGTGGTTTCCATAAAATCAATAAAATAAAAAATATACGAAATAATATACATGTACTGATTTCTTTCGAAAATCGACAACTATGAAACTATGATCCCTTCCCCGACACAAACGGTACATTGTGAGACAGGAAATTGTAGAGAGAAACAAGCCCTATAACACAGGATACAACATTTTAATGAACAGTGCTTTCCATAAAATCAATAAAATGAAAAATGTACGAAATAATATACGTGTACTGATTTCTTTCGAAAATCGACAACTATGAAACTATGATCCCTTCCCCGACACAAACGGTACATAGGAAATTGTAGAGACAAACAAGCCCTATAACACAGGATACAACATTTTAATGAACAGTGCTTTCCATAAAATCAATAAAATGAAAAATGTACGAAATAATATACATGTACTGATTTCTTTCGAAAATCGACAACAATGAAACTATGATCCCTTCCCCGACAAGAAACGGTACATTGTAAGACAGGAAATTGTAGAGAGAAACAAGCCCTATAACATAGGATACAACATTTTAATGAACAGATCGAAAAATAAGTAAAAGAAGAAAAAGAAGTCTGGAACTACGCTAACAAGCGTTTTAACAAAAGCAAGACAACAAGAGAAAGAGTGCATCTGTCAGGATCAGGTACCCTGTGAATGCGGTGAGTAGTATATTGGAGACATAACAACTTCTACCTACGAGTCAACGAGCATAAATAACATAGAGTTAAAAATTAAAATTAATAACATAAAGAGGTGAAACAATGAAGTCAAGTATTGCAGACCTATTTAAAATAATTGATTTTGACTATTTTGAACTTCAATTTCATCATCAAAACAAATAATTCACTCATTTTAAACTTACAAGGATAAGTATAAAATATTGCAGTCACAATGCCAAGGATTCTTGGCCAATTTTACTGATACCAGTTCTGTGAGGGGATCAAATATTTTCGCTGGTAAATACTGAAATTTGTTGCTATCCAGTTGCCTAAAAATTAATTCATTTAACATTTACAGGGAGGTCCGCTTTTCATTAATGAAAATCCATAGATATTTTTTTTAGAAATAAAATTTCATATTAACTTTAGCAGTGAAGTTTAACTAATTATACACAGCATATAAAGAGCAAAATTCTTACAGTTTTTGAAGACTGGGTGTGTAAATAAATACCCTAGGACTTATATCCTTCAAGATATTGTTGTTTATCAACAAAAACGTCAAACTGATGAGACCATTGAATGTTTTTTCTTTGAGTTCTTCCAAATTATTGGAGAACAAGTACAGCTTCTCTAGATCTTTATTCCTCAAAAAAGCGTTCTCTGGTAGGCTGTTAATCATATTTTGACCAAGATGTAGCTCCACGAGACTGATAAGAGATATGAAATCATTAGGAGATATCTATAAAATAGAATAAATTTAGTTACTATTTTGGTATTAACGTTTAAGAATAAACTTTTATTGTTGTTCTACAAGTTCATAATAGTAATGTTTATATATTCAACAAGTACTATAGGAAATTAAAAATGCCATGTTATAATTTAATAGGAGACACAGAACATGACAGTTCAAGTATCAGTCTGTCATCAAGAAAATTAAATAAAAGATTTGTCAAGAACACAATAATATATTATCTGTTTCCAAAATTACCAATATTTTTTTTACTGTAAACTTTATCAAAAATATATATACACAGTTGATCTATTATTAGAACCCCTATTTGAATATAAAACATTTATTTTTATTAAAAAACAAGTGATTGTTTATATAATTATTAAAAAATATATTTACCTGTGATATCTGATTACTTGTCAACTGTAATATTTTCAAATTAGCCATTTTACCGAATAGTTGATCAGATAAATGAGTTATTTTATTTTTTCTCAAGTTGAGCAATTCCAGATTTGTTAATTTGTCAAATACACCTAAAAAAGGATTAATAACATATCTACAGTTTATTCATGTCCAAGATGCACCAAAGGCAAACAAGTACATGAGGCATGCACGATGCACGTGTACACAGTGTCACACGAGGTGTCACATATTTGAGCCTCGTTGTTAGGATCTCGAAAACTAGAAGAAATATGAGGTGGGTTAAATGAGTCTTGGTCTTGTATTTGCTCATCACCAATCAGCATCAAATTGCGCAACTTTTCCTTCATTTAACTAGAATATGTAACACCCTGTACAATTATACAGGGTGAGTTCTAAATAAGTGCAAATATTTTCAGTGCTAGTAGATCTCGATAAAAGAAACATATTTTCTCTTCACTGTTTTTCAAATAAGTTGAAAAGAACAAAGATTTTTTTATGTTTTACTTCGAAAATAAAAAAAAAATATTGTTTGCTAAAATTTTGAGAACCACTGGATTCTGGGTGTTCTTTATTCTAAATTTAATCTACAACCTATGTTGCATTATTATCAAGATATTATGTTTTTTAATTTAAAATTAGCCCCTTGTGAGACTCACCCTGTATAATTAATATAATATTAGTATACTAACTTAGTACAGTACTTAAAATCACAGCACTATAATGTGATTACTGTAGATATTACAGTTCACGTGCAAGCCATGCAAACTGCAATTATTATATAATAATTTTATTATACCTGTAGGTAACAATGTTATATTATTCTCAGAAAGATGTAACCTCCTCAAAGTCTTCAAATCCGAAAAAACAAACTTGGGAAGCGTTACCAAATAGTTATTACTCAAATCCAAGTCCTCCAAATATTCTAGTTTATTAAATAAAACCTCAGGGATTGAGGTCAGTTCATTCCTCGATAAATGGAGCAAGATCAAATTTTTGTTTTCTCGAAATAGGTTTGGCGGTAAAGATTTCAGTTTATTGGCTGAAACGTCAAAAGTCCGCAGGTTTGGTAGGTTTACGAGAAGATCAGAATGAAGGTATTCCAATTCGTTTTTGTGTAGTCTCCTAGAAGTACGTAAAGTTATAGAAATAAGAATTCAGTCTACAAAAAGAGTCTACTGAATCCTAATACTAAATCCTGAGACTGAATATGATGAGTTATAACTCAAGAAACACAAGGTTGCGATGTTCTATACCGGGTGCGTCTCAAAAGTGGCTCACCCCTATAACTTTTAGTTATGACATAAATTAGGATTGATTGACGTATTCAATTGTTTTTGGTCACTTCCTGTTTCATCGGAAATGACTATAACTTTTGATTTTCAAATGGCACCCTCCATATTTTTTTATTTTATTCGATAGAAAATAACACTCTCAATAGAATGACATATCATATGTCAACTTGTGACATATACGCATATGGTTTATTTGAAATTATAACTTGCGGTTCGTAACGAAAATTTGACTCGAAATACCAAGTGTGTGGTATCAAATTAATCGTAAAAAATGCTTTTTCCAAATATGCTAATGAGCAACCCTCGTTTCATTTGAAAAAATTGAGATATGATTAAAAATACGATTTGAGCACTAAAAACATTAGACGATCAAATCTATTTTACCAAGGCTCCTTGATTAAGAATTAGTGTTTTTAACATAGCCTAACCTAACCAAACATAGCCGTGGCACTCTAGATTGCATTTTAAAATACGATTTTTTATTAAGCGAGAATGTAAAAAGTTGACATATGATATGTCATTCTATTCAGAATGAATAATAATTCATTCATCTATCGAATAAAGTAAAAAATACCGGGGATGCCATTTAAAAATCAAAAGTTGTAGTCATTTCCGAAGAAACAGGAAGTGACCAAAAACAATTGAATACGTCAAGCAATCCTAATTTATGTCATATACTAACGTACCATATCTCGTTTTTTTATCTGAAAAAATAAAAAAGTTATAGGGTTGAGCCACTTTTAAGACGCACCCGGTATATACGTTCATTCTTTCTACATCTACCTCTATATCAGTTATTTAAACACATAACTCAACTATAATATACCAAAACTATACTATACTTACAAATATACTAAACTGTTCAGCTGTTTAAATATATCTGGTGGCAAAAAATCAATCTTATTATCAAACAAATCCAGTTCATTTAAATATGGTAAACTACTGAATGAATTCTTATTTAGTGTCGTCAAACCATTGATACCTAAATCGCTGCAAGTATTAAAAACAAGCATTAATAAGAAATTATACCATATTCTCCTAATCACACATACATAGCTCTTACGTCATATGGCAAGATTTGATCTGAAGGTAGTTGAGTGATTTCTTGTTGCCAACAACTTAAGGACTTGGTTTCTGGTTTACATTTGCAAGGACCTTTTGCACAGTCCATCCATTTGGAATCATCCCTTACTATGTTCCATACTGAAACAGTGAAGGAATGTTTAGAAGTGTCTATATTGTGTATACAAAGCAAAGTTACATAACAAGTGCGCTGGTCGGATTTTCAATGATTTAGAATTGATATTTAGATGTTGACTCTTTTTATTTTCTTGATCGTCGAGTCTTCTGTTCGAACAGTTTTTGAGAAAAAAAGTAAAGAACTTAAATATTTTCCCATACTTTAGGTTTGCATTTAGATCAAATTCACAAGTTTCTTTTATTCTAGGAGCTACATATGCCCGACGCACTATTGCCGGACCCTGTATATGAGAAATCACATTATGGGTAACGGTTATCGATTTTCGATAGGTAAATAAATGCTATAAATATATCTTAATAAGTCAACTATTGGTTATTCGATATATTGATAACTTTCGATAGATATTCATACATAAAAAAAATACCATCCGTAATTATTATTACCATAAGGTAGGTCGTATTTACTTACTGGGTTGTTCCAAAGACCTTAGTCGCCTCTCCAAATTCTTAAACTGATCGTTCGTCCTATTTTGTTCTTCAATCTTATCAGCAAACTCCGTTAATTGGATTAAACTTTCTTCGAGAGCCTGGCAAGCATTCATCTCACACACGCCCCTGTCATCGGTCCAATTGTTAGGAACCAGCGATAGCATCAGCAACACAAAGAACTTAATTTTGAACATAATTTTCTTTTAGTCAGATAACACCAAATATAAAGCCAACTGAAGGCTGTAAAAACAGCCAGAAATATAGGTCCTTATTGTTTATTGCCTTGAACAGATCTATCTAATGTTATAAACAATTTCTGTATTAAATTTTATTAAATAATTCAGTCGGTTGATCTAGTGTGAAATATTTCTATCCTGCGAGCCAACTCATAATAATATGTGCTGGTTAATTTCTATATTAGTGTGGAAAATTGCTATAATTAATTGACAGATATTTTGAGAGTTTAAAAATATACATGAATAATATACATTTTACAAATTAAACAAATGTTTTAAAATAAGATTCTTAAATTATATCTGCGTTTCTTTAGCACGAACTTGTGTATAATTAAATATTTTTTAAAGGAAATATTTTTATGACAAAATGGTGAATGCGCCATTATTCTTGCGTACGAATTTAACATTTTTCAGGCATAATAAAATACAAATTAAATATTTTTTCCATAGCAACTGTTAAAATTGCCTTATATCTATCAAAAATAGTAGATAAAATAGTACTTTAACCGCAAGAGTAGATTAAATGATACTTTAACAGCGAGGATAGGTTAAAAACTTTATTTCTTCTCGCACGTTTTTTAATTGCTTTCATTTTTGAAAGCTTTTGTATTCCTTTTCATAAGTTATTCGGGATTTATATGGAAATAGTTTGGATATGGCGTTTGTCGCCTCAGCCTGAATATCTGTTGGTAATTTACTTATTTCGTTTTGAGCCATTTCTGACTCCAATTCAATCAGCAATCGACACGAAAGAGAATTAAAAAATATTGACTCAAAACTGACAACTAAAGAGACAGCTTTATTTATTTGTCAAATTACATAGAAACCAACGCCAACCCAGCACAATATTTTTTGAAACATAACTCCTGGCTTTTTCTTATAGTTGCAACTTTTACACTTTTTTTACAATATAATTACAGTTTATACAAAGTTCACCACACACAACAAACTATTAAAACTCATTAAATTTGTCGCTATTATAGTCTTTAACATTAAGATATTCTTGACAGTCTGGTGGATGTATTATATTTTGTGTTGTAAATTGAAACAGACAAAACGCAACAAAACTGGGACTGTTTTCGTGAACAGCGACAAGTCCTGTCCCCTGGCGGAAGAGTCTCTGAGGTTTGTCCGTGTTTTTGTCGACAGAGTTCGCTCTATGGGTAAACACGACGCCAACTGCGACAGCCATGTGGATATTTTGTGTAATGTATTCCTTTCGTGCATTAATCTATTGAAGCGTTGGGTATGTATAGTATACAAACATATTTTTTATATAAAATAGATTTATATGTTATAAGTATTGTTTAATAATGTATTATTGTTTGGTATTTTGTGCCTATAGCCTATATTACAATATAACCTATAAAACAATCGTTTAATTTATAGGTATTGTTTAATATTTTATGTATCACGGTGATTCACGATAGATTAGACGTTACTGAAAAACCGTTGATTTTTTTGAAAATTTGAATTTTTACATAGAGACTCTTGCTACATCTATAATAAAATTATTTTCAGTATTACGGTGTTGCCGCTTCATTTTAAAAGTAGTAGCATTTCTGTTATTTTAAACGGAACACCCGTTATACATATTATTACGTTTTTTGAAACAGCTTTCATTTCGTATAGTTCTTCTATTGTAGTATCATATAAGTACTTACTTGTTACTTGTCTCTCTCATAGTTTCGGAGATAAAAAAAAGGGAATGTATGTATAGAATTGACAATAACATGACCTTGAATAAGCATTGGTGACATCAGCATCTCAACAAGTCTACAATACGTCGACTATGAAGTAAATTAAAAAAAATATAAAAATATAAACAATATAGTTTTGTTTCATCTAGAAAAATAATTTTGACATTTTTTCTCAAATTTTCTAAATGTCTTATTCCTTTTTTTTTTCTTTTTTTTATTTTACAGTCGACGTATTGTCGACTGATGGCAAATGATGCCTAGAGATTAACCTCGCCAAAATTATCATCGATTATCATTCCCCAGCTTTCTTTGGCGCCGTTTTTTTTCGATCAAACTTTATATTATTTAAAAAATCAAAAGACGGGGGAAGCATATTTGGGCGTCGGCTTTTATTGTCTCAAAAAAATCTCAAGTATGTTGACAATATCAAAAATGTCACAGATGCAGGTTTAAGGTTAGGTTTGTCATTATAGTGATTGATTTTTCATTTTTCCGGATATTTTTAGTTATTTAGTTTTACTCAGATTATCCTGTAGATGTCACAAATGACGGTTATTGTTTGTCTTTGTTGAATTAAGGCAGTAGACTGAAAAATGAGTGGTAGAAAGTGTAATAAAAACTTTCATGAACTGAAGTTCGATCTAGTAAAAGTAAATGACAAGCACGCTGCAAAATGTACGTTATGTGGATATATTCTAAAAAATACCGGTGCCGGAAGACTGCAAGGCCACAGGTGAGTAAAGGTCTAGAGTGGAGCTAAAAATTAGCGTAACTAGCAATTTTTCCTGGAGTGGGCCTGGGGGGGCCTAGGGTTGAGCCTTGGGGTTGAGCTTTTGTTCTTTTTTAAATGAAAAATAATTTTAAAAAACAAATTTTTTGAATACAATTTTACATGAATTTCTCTATCAATAAATTTCATAGACTTGGTTATCAAACCGTGTTCCCGTAGATTACTTAAATACCTACAAATTTTCTAAAAAAATAAAAATTAGCACATTTTTTGAACACAATAAAATAATATTAACTAAACAAAACTAGAAAACGTCATTTTTACTACATCACATGCAAGCAAATAAAAATTAATACGTAGCCAAGAGTCATAATTCAGGATTTCTCTGGGGGGTGCCCAGCAGTATCTGGGAGGGGCGGCACTCCCGGACACCCCTGTAGTTACGCCAATGGAGCTAAACATTATTTGAAACCTCTCCCAAAAAACTAGACTATTTTTAACTTTTTACATTTACAAGTTTTGATGGTTTTCAATGTAAAAAATACAATTTTTCATAAAACTATAGTGTTCAACATGCAAAAGGAGTACCTACATAATATAATGGCTTTTCGTCCGGGTTTTCAAAACAAGGTTAAGGTGCGTTTGCACCGGCTGCGCCGCTCTGCGCAAATCATTTATTTAGCATATACTTTTGTGCGCGCTAAAAAAATACACTTCAAAAGTACATGTTAAAAAAATGTTTTGCGCGGAGCGGCGCATCCGGTGTGAACGCACCTTTAGAAATTGAACGCAATCGATAAAATAACTTTTAATCGATACAGAATTGCATTTTGAGTACAGTTTAATTATTTATTATAATAAAATAGTTTGTTAAAAATGTCAAAAATTGTTTTTGAGAATTAGTGGTTTTGCACATTGAGCAATAGACAATAAGCAATACACAATCAGCAACACGCGACATTATCCATTATCGCTTATTGACAGCATACTAAAGATTGAATGTTGCCTTGCACACCGAAGCAACGCAATGTTGCCTACAGAAGGCAATATTGCGGTGCCTCAGACACTAATTAACTAATTTCGCTTATTGCTGGTTACATATTGCTATAAGTTAGTCTGCTGTATTGCTTGTGTGCGATTCGAATTTTTTCAGAAATATTTGCAATCAAAGTTCTAATGAAAAGATCAACGCTAATAACCAAGATGAAATTAAAACAGAAGAACAATCGAATCCATATGACTGTGGCGCTACTGGCAGTGGTGTAGTAAGTAAATTTAAAAACTTAAATATATAGGTTATAGTATTTCTATTATATATTATTTCTATAATACATTCCTTTTTTTTTATACACGTCTTGAATTTGAAAAAAAAATAAAATCAAAAATTAAGATATTTAGGACGTATTCATATGAAGTTTGTTTGAAGTCCAAGAACCACCCTGTTAAATATTAACATGCCATTAAGAAACACCTTATACCGGGTGCGTCGCAAAAGTGGCTCACCCCTATAACTTTTTTATTTTTGCAGATAAAAAAACGAGATTTGGTATGTTAGTATATGACATAAATTAGGATTGATTGACGTGTTCAATTGTTTTCGGTCACTTCCTGTTTCACTGGAAATGACTACAACTTTTGATTTTTAAATGGCACCTCCGGTAAATTTTTACTTTATTCGTTAGAAAATAACACTCTGAATAGAATTACATATCATGTCAGCTTTTGACATTTCCGCATATGGTTTATTTGAAATTATAACTTTCGAAATTATGAAAATTTGTGGTATGAAACTATTCGTAAAATTCGTTCTATTTGAAAAAATTGGACTATGATTAAAAATACGATTTGAGCATTTTCTAACTAGCCAGGACAAGACACTAAAGACATTAGACGACCAAATTTATTTTTCCAAGGCTCCTTGACTAAAAATTAGTGCTTTTAACATAGCCATGGCACTCTAGATTGAATTTTAGAATACAATTTTTTATTAATGACATATGATATGTCTTTCTATTCAGAATATAATTTTCTATCGAATAAAGTAAAAAAATACCGACGGTGCCATTTAACAATCAAAATATGTAGTCATTTCCGGTGAAACAGGAAGTGACCAAAAACAATTTAATACGTCAATCAATCCTAATTTATATCATATACTAATATACCAAACCAAAGCAAACCAAACCAAACAGGGGCGGAGACAGGAATTTATTTTAGGGGGGATCCAAAATAAAAAGTAATGTTGAATATACTTTTTAGGGCGTGATTTTTAGCCCAAAAGCCTAATATATAACGCAATTTATAGATTTTAGGGGGGGCCGGGCCCCATGGGCCCCCCTCTGTATCCGCTACTGATACCAAATCTCGTTTTTTTATCTGAAAAAATAAAAAAGTTATAGGGGTGAGCCACTTTTGAGACGCACCCGGTTTATAGTATGATTTATTAAACATTATAATATGAGACATAATGAAACCAGAGTGATATATTTTTTTTATTTCTAGAACATGAGTGTTAAAAAAGGAAAGAAACAATGGACGGTGGAAGAATGCAGCAATTTAATAGAAGCCTATCGACAGCACCCAAATTTATGGAACACCTCTCATGTAAACTACAAAAACCGACTGAAGAAGTATTGTTCTCTTAAGGAAATAGCCGAATTATTTGGGACAAACTATGAAGAAATTGAAAGGAAATTAAAAAACATCATTAGCCAGTATCAACGAGAAAGAAGAACTTATAAAAAACTAAAAAAATCTGGATTTGGGCACGTTTTCAAACCTAAATGGTTTGGTTACGCGTCCATGTGTTTTTTACAACAGAAAAACAAACCTATTAATGACAGTCAAATTGGACTGGATTTTGAGGTAAGTTTCAGTTGGTATTCCTATTTTTAATTATAAAAAACAATTATATATACCGGGTGCGTCTCAAAAGTGGGTTACCCCTATAACTTTTTTATTTTTTATAAATGGCACCCTCGGTATTTTGTTACTTTATTCGATAGAAAATGACACAAATCTGAATAGAATGACATATCATATCTGAATAGAATGACATATCATATTATGTCAACTTTTGACATTTTCGAATACGGTTTATTTAAAATTGCGATATGCGATTCATAAGTGATTCATAACCACAATTTGACTCCAAATATGCTAATGAGCCACCCTCGTTCCATTTGAAAAAAATAAGATATGATTAAAAATACGATTTGGGCATCTTTTAACCGGCCAGGACAAGACACTAAAACCATTAGACGATTAAATTTATTTTTACAATGCTCCTTGATTATAAATTAGTGTTTTTAACACAGCCATGGCACTCTAGATTGAAATTTAAAATATAATTTTGTTATAAGCGAAAAAGTTGACATATGATACGTCATTCTATTCAGAGTGTCATTTTCTATCGAATTAAGTAGAAATATACTGAGAGTGCTATTTAAAAATTAAAAGTTCTAGTCGTTTCCGGTGAAACAGGAAGTGACCAAAAACAATTGAAGTCAATCAATCCAAATTTATGTCATATACTAACATACCAAATCTATTTATTTTATCTGAAAAAATAAAAAAGTTATAGGGGTGAGCCACTTTTGAGACACACTCAGTATATATTAATTATAAAAAAAAAATAAATATTATATAGTTTAATATACCACATAACTCCAGCCACATAAAATTATTATTAAGACTTATACCTTATATGAATTGTCAGGAAACTCATCCCACTTCTGATACAAAATATCCTGTCAAAAACATAACATGTAAAAATATGCCAATTACATCAAATTATAATAAAATACTCTACTTTTTGAAACCCCACGTATATTAAACGTATTATTTTAGGGTAGCAGTTCATCAAGTAGTGAAGACAGTGATGCCAATGAGGGTGAAACGTGTGAATTAGATCGGAATATTTTGGACGTTCAACTCAAGGTTGAACCTTTGGAACAGTACACAGAAGAAGAGTCTGAGTCACAAAAAACTGAAGAAATATCACAAATAGATACAAAGGAACGAAGAACAAGTAGTCAACCTTTATATTCTGCACCGAACATTGTTAAGAAACCTTCAAAACTCGCAGATTCTAGTAATATGAGCAGTATTTCTGAGGATACATTCAATATGATTAAATCGGTATATCAGGAAGCACAGAGAGCAGAACTACGTGATAAATACACAATATTTGGTGAACTAGTAAGCCATACGATACGAAATTTAAAAACCAATTTTTCAAAAGCTACTGTGGAACATCTAATAAGCAATATTTTATATCAGGCCCAAATTGGAGCATATGATTATCCACAACATTCGTCTGTACCTTGTTCGTATACTACTCCATCTTCCAGCCATAGAGTTCCATCACCTCATTATACTGCAGAAACTCATACTGATAATCCAACAACAGTAACTAGTGATATATAGGGCTGGGCATTTAAAACACATTTAGTATAGATACATGACATAATCGAATGAATTTGCGTTAATTTTTACCTGTTTCATATAGAAATAAATGTTTGTTTTTTTTTTATTTCATGGAATGATTTAATATAATTGCCTTTAATCACTCGTGAAAAACTTCACAAAGAGCCTTGTTAGTTGGCTAAGGTGCTTATCGAACTCATCACTCTGAGACCCTATCCCTAAGGATGGTACAAATGGTTATACGCAAATCTAGTTTTGAGCAAGAAATATTTCCCAAACCCGAAAAATTAATTTTATTCGATTATTTTTTTTGCTTATAGTGTGATTTGATTACATTGGTTTCACTCTTTTTGGTTGGATTGGTTTAGTTATTTGGTGAGTTGGTTAGCGTGGTTATTTGGAGGGTGTTAATTAATGCATTGGGGTTAGTTGTTTTTTCGGGTTTGGGAAATATTCCTTGCTCAAAACTAGATTTGCGTATTTTTTTCGGCCATTGCCCGAACTCGACTATTGAGCGTAACATACTTATGTAATTTCAAATGGTAGAATTTATTTTCATAATTTTATTATCTAAAATAAAAGCCAGCATAATTACTGAAATTTACAGATTCTAAAATCAGTTTTGGACCAATTTGGCTCTTCTAAATACAAGGACATTTATTATAATATATACAGTGATTTCTCATCATCAAAATTAAAAATAAAACGCGTCATACAACCCGTAGATTCCCATTAATCTTCATCCTAAGCCTTTGAAATTCTTTTTTGACTAATTGGTTAAGGAAACAGATAGAAATCAACACTAAAAAGTGGACCACCCACGTTGACGATATCGGATTATATAATTTATCTCAATGTTCGGTGAAGATAATGTTGACTACTGCTTGTAGCGGAATTCTCTTTGAAATTTATAGCTGAATAATATCAGATAAAGACATAGTTATGTCATAGGATTTAGAGATCTTCAGTTTTAAAAGGAATATTACTTAAATTAAATGTATAAGTTATATGTATTCTTAGCTATATTGTAGGAAATGTTTACTGTGGATATTTTCTTACTCTCTGAGTTGTAATCAGCAGGTTACCAGGTAGCAGGAATTTTTAGTGTAATGGGATATTAAATAGATTTATATGATAGAAGAATTTATGAGATCCTGTGGTAATTTTATGTTGAAAAATTGACTATTAATATTAAGTATATTTCTTTTTAATTAAAATCGATAAAATCATATTTTCTTTTGGTTTTCCAAAGTTTATGTTTAGTATTGTATCAAAAATCCTTAAATTAATAATAAGGCTATAAGCCATAATCTGCAATAAAATGAATTTGAACTGAAACTTCCAGAAAAACATACTGTACATACTTTTTAACATGTGCTAAAAAATAACTTCAGTTTGTTTTTCTAGAATTATTTATAATGCTACTGATATGAATTAAAATTAATTTTCCAAATTTATTGTGAAGAAAATTAAAATTTCTGTGAACTTATATGAACAAACAAATAGGGAAGAATATGTGTAACGTTGGAGGTGGCAACATTGCAGAGAATGGTCCAGCGGCACCTAAAAGTTTTTCGGAAAATGTAAAAAAAATGTGAAATTTTCGATTTTTTTTTGCAAAAATAATCTCATGGGAATGCTTCTGGGATAGAAATAGACCTACAACCAGATAAAATATTATTTACCAATAATTTATGAGACACCCTGTATATTAAATATACAGGGTGGTCCGAACTGTATTCCGGAAACTTCGGCAGCATATTCTGCAGACAAAATAAGTAAAAGACTTCGTATAAATGTATGTCCTCAGATGCTTAGTTTCGGAGATACAGGGTGTAGAAGTTTCATTTCTATTTTGATTTTTTCCAAATAATTTGTGAAGTAACATCAACATTTGGATGAAAATTGGTGTCTGGGCGTTTTTTGACATGAGAAATTTGATTTTGATGCCAATATGACTCCTACTTGTAAAGGGCGCCACTTCGAAATAACAATGAAACTTCTACACCCTGTATCTCCAAATCTAAGCATTTTAGGACATACATTTATACGAACTTTTTTACTTATTTTTATCTGCCGAATATGCTGCCAAAGTTTCCGGAATACAGTTCGGATCTAAGGTTCGGATCACCCTGTATAAATTGTATAATGACATCATTATCTAAAGAACCTAAATTGTTATTTTATCTAAAAAATCACTGATATTAGATTTGATTTTGGTTTTCAGATGCTTTTAACCAATCACCTTTTACCTATTAATTTGTTTAAAGTTCAGGTACTGGAATTTCCTAATATAAATAAATTTGTGTTGTCATTCCGGATTGTATATAGGCGCCTGCTACTTGTCTATTTCTTGCTTATTATCATACTATCGTCACTAATTACCATAAATAAACAAATTACCACTATTTTTCTTTTTTATTATTGTTGAACGTTACGCAGATCGAAAAATATGACATAAATTCTTTATTCCCATTTTTATTTATAGCTTTGTCATTAGTGTTCCTTTTGTGATATGCGTTTTATGTTGATTAATTATGTTTTAAAGACTTCTGAACTTGTTCTACATTTTTACAAGTAGTAATAACAAATAAAATTTAACAAAGATAGTCAATATGGAAACCCATTAAAATGGGTTTAAATTTCAATAACCTTTGTCTCAAAGCGTTTTTTTTTATTTTTATATAAATATAAATTTTTATATAAATATATATTTACCAACTTAAGGGTGTTCATATTAAAATTACACAATTTCAGCAACATTCAATAATTTCTTGCAAATAAAACACGAATCCATTTTCCAATAGCACTAGTGAATTTCCTGAAAAAAAAACACTTAAAGCTACCACCACTTGTTCATGATCTGGGCGCTATCTCCAAAAATAGTCAAGTTACAAAAAAAAGTTCATAAGGCAAAGGTAGATGTACTCTTATTTTGAACGAGTTTCCTAGGGTGAATTTGCTGAAAAAAGAGTAACATTGAAAACTACCCTAATTTGTTCATGAACTGGACGCTATCTCCAAAAATAATCAATTATTGAGTACAGAATAGCAATCATATAAAATATTTACACTCTTGGATAACTAAACATAAAATGAAACACAAACAAAAACAAAACAAATTCCGAACAAATATCACTGACATAAAATACGTTTTTTCTTTCATTCTTTCAAAATAACTTGCTAATAATGCGAATTAAAAATCAGTCACAATCTCTCCTCTGTTTGAACTTTTCTGTTGGCGTAACAAAATATTCATAAATTACCTAGTGCTAAATTCCATGCATGGTCCATGGAATAATTCATTTTCTTTTTAATGTCCGTCGAAGACAGACAGAAGGCATTTTGTGGTCTCTGGCTTAATCTAAGAACCTGGTAAGGATTTTTCTGTTAGGAATATTTTTTGAACCGAAACTTGTAGGCTAATGTAAGAACGAAATTAAGATAAACAAAACGGTTATTGAGTAAGATGTTAAAAGCTCTATAAATTTAGACGATGTTAATTATAATTAAACACAGGTGCCTGATACTGAATATGATATAGAAATTATGTAATGAATAGACATAACTGGAGAGAACTAACTATGTAAAATGGAGTCAACATCATGATCCCAGTTTTGTTTGACGTTTCTTACATTAATTACAAGTTTTTAAACTTTAGGTCAATGACTCTGATTCAAAGCTGATTTGTTCTCCAGTCATATTATCATAGTTTTCAAAAACCCATTAATTTCAATTGTACGCCTTTAAGTCTTGCATGTAGTTATAGAATATATTTTTGCTTACTTTCTGCAATTTTCTTTAAGTGGCATCAATTAATAGCATTATTTATTTCTGAGTCTATACAAAACCATATTGTTGAAAGTTCATTTATTTGTAAAAATCTATTGGAATTTGAAATGTTTAATCACTAGAAAAAAAGGTCTGAGAATAAAGCCGGGACCCCATTAGCCAACAACCGACGCGATGCCATGTTATCCCACGTGTTGCGACGAGGAATGGTTGTATACATTTGGTAACACCTGTTAACACGCCTGAAATGTTTATTAGAGTTAAAAAAATTGTCAATAGGGATACAAAAATACTAGAAGTGCCGATACCCATACCGATATTAGATTATAATCATAATACCTTAACTTCACAATCTCCATTAACCTTCTTTCCCTAATTTTTGATTATTAAATTGTAAAATTAATAATAGAATTTGTATTCTTACTGATTGAACACTCAAAAAAATATTTTTGTTTTCTGTTGCATTCGAAAATAACAAAATAACCGTTAGAAAATAGCTGCGGGACTAGAGAGACAAGCGAGGAACGACACGCCGCGCCGTAACACACGTCGTCGGTGAGATCTGGGACTAGAGATGGGCAAAAGTAACCGGTTTTTTGAATAACCGGTATTTTCCTCTAAAATAACCGGTTATTTAAAGGTAGTTTTTTTTCACCAATTAACCTAATAACCTTGCATTACGTTCAATAACCTATAGCCAGTTATTTTTTAAAAAATCGTACTTGTTTAAAACAACTAACAATTAAATATTAGCTGTTTGAATCGTAAATTTCGAAGAAGCGAACGGCACGGATCTTCCCGATATTACGACGATAACGGGAGATCCCGCTCCCGCTCCCAAAACGAAAATATATGACATCAAATGTCAAAATTAAATCAGGCATCAGGCGAACCCTGATGATAATAATCAAAACAACGGCCGAATGGCCCTGACAGGTCAGGGGTGCAACTTTGTTCATGTTTCAAAGCGATAGCAAAGTAATTTGTAGCTTGATGCACTATGTTCAGTAGCAACATCGATTTGTAGCGATATTCTGATTTCTCGCTTTTTGGCGAGGCGACAGTCTAGACACGTGTGCAAGAGTGTGATAGTAATACCATATTTCGCAGCATTTGAGCGACACCAGTTTTGCAATGAACATAGTATCGATCTGGTTTCGACATCGCTTCTAAACGATCGATTGCTAACTTGAACAAAGTCGCACCCCAGGGCCATAAAGCAAAGTACTAATGCCATAGACTACTACTAGCCACCAGCTAGCCAAGTGATACAAACCTAACTTCAAATAGATTCTCTAAATTCTATATTTAAAT